GCTGAGTCAGCTCTGGTGTGAATTCAGTGTACTGGTCAAAACAGGACACAATACTAAAGCTCCAAATAAAGAAGTAATTACTTAAATGAACAACGGAAGTAGGAACCTACCTTGGTAACCATGACCACCACAAAGTTTTTCTCCTCTATTTTGTACTCCTTCAGAGGTATGTCATCGTTCAAGATTTTACCTAAAGGGAAAGTGAATGAAACTGAATTGAAGTTGAAGTAAAAGCACAATTACTAATCTTGAATAAATAACAGTTACTTATAACTGAATAACAGCCACAAAGAATCAATCGCTCTCCTACCTGCATAGATTAGCTTCTGTCCAGCTATGGGATACGCCTCCTTGCCCTTTTCAGCTTCAATCTGCTCCTTAAGGGCTCGTACCTGCAATGAAAATACATTAGCAATGGTAATACCAGCAACAGGCTGGAAGGGGAATTCCACAGACTTCCCAAAATTTCTGCATGATTAAACGATTAAGATGTAAACATAAAAGGGTCATTCAGAAGGGTCTGATGGGAGATGCTCCATTCTAGAGAAACTTATCAAGATGGGAACCAGACATCTGAAGAGTTTAATGCCTCTTAAAGCTCCTTCACAGAAAGTTATTACATTAAAATGGATACAAATACGCTGCCTGATGGCTGAGCCGTTGTTTTATTATAGTTCTGAGATAAGATTAATACACTTGAGGCAGAGAAGCAGGGTGTTCTAAGGGCAAATAGTCCCCAAAAAAACTTTACCACTATTTTACCATTATTAATATGCAAATACAAATTCAGAAGATGCTTGCAGGTTGTCTGGCAGGTGTGGATAGTAAATAACATGGCTCTGGTTCCTATCAGCACCACTGTAAAGATATCAGAGTTTCTCTACACTCCAAACCACTCTGTCTGACTTTACATCTGTTTACAACCTAAAAAAAGCAACCTCATTGCAATTCCCCTTTAAAAATGCTTTGCAAGAGGCTTTTCATAGTCAAACTATATTCAATGCATTATTTACCTAAAGAGAATTGTTGTGTTTGTTCATGTTCCTTATATTTAATCCACATTTTCACCAATAACACATAGCTACGCTTTCTAAACAGCAAGTCGGATCAGGCTACTTCATACACAAATGAGAGGCTTATTTATCTATTTATTTATTATTTATTACTTTTAATTACTTTTAGTATTTATTACTTTTTTCAACTGTTATATACACATATCAGACTATTCATCAGTGGCATATGGAAGAAGTTTCCACCACTGGATAGAAATATATAGCCATTTAGTAAGTCATAATAATGAGAAACTTTTCCATAACCATGACTAGTATCTCATAATTATGCCTTGCTATCTCATAATAATGATATATCTCACTGTTATGACTTTGTATCTTATAATTGTGACTTGGTATCTCATAATTATGACTTACTTGCAATCTCATAATGATATTATGTAACATAATCATGACTTACTTTCACATAATTACGACTTGCTATCTCAGAATGATGTTATTATATTACATAATTAATACCTATAATAATGACCTACTGTCTCATAATGAGAAAGTTTCTCATAATTATGACTAAATATGTAATAATAATTACTTACTTTCATATTAATTATTTGAAAAAAATTGTGAGAAATGATGAGAAATATCTTAATTATAAAAAATAAGTCATACTCATGAGATACTAAGTCAAAATTATGGAAAACTTGCTAATATTTATGCATATTTTGGAGAAAAAATAATAATACAGCTTTACTGTGTAGTTCTAAGTTCAGTCCAGATCAGATCTGGTCATGTGTCTTGGCAGAAGTTGGCTTGTTATTCGAATTCTCCGTTCCACCTTAAATGGCGCAGCAGTTCCACACTGGCGCTCCAGGCGCCAGAATGGAACTGCTGCACCATTTAAGGTGGACCGGAGAATTCAACTTCAGCCCCTTGGTCATGTGTCCAATAAGTGCATCGTCATTCTGAGGCGAAAAGTTGGTGGCTATTAACAGCTCGAAGCCTGGCCTTTAGCCTGCTGCTACCAGAATAGCATGTGAATACAGCGTGTGTGGAGGTGGGACAGGGTGCTACCCCTACTTTCCACCCTCGGCGGATGAGCGTTTTGCCCCCCGGGGCCGAGGCCGCCTCTCTGCCCGCCTGCCCTCTCTCTCCCCTCGGCCACTTACCGTTAGCTCCTCGTCGATCTGGATCTTAAAGGTTTGCTGCTGGAGAGTTTTCAGCGTGATCGTCAACATGGTCAGCGGCGGTCAGAGACTGTCTGGCATGTACACACACTCACACACACTCACTCACACGCGTCCGTGTGTGTCTCTTTATTTTTTGGTTTTAGATGTGACTCAGCTTTCTGCCTGGGAAAAACGGCGCCGCGCTTAGGCGCCATCTAGCGGCTATTGGAGGAACGACACGCGGTAGGGGAGGGGGGGGGGCTTCAGCAGGAATGCTGTAATCACATACCTTATATGGAGCCCCCCTTAGGACACTGTTCAAACTCAGACAACTGTACCTCAGTATGCCCACTCATATTGACGACCCCCCCCCCCCATATTGATGAATAGCAGTCTGTTTTGTTTATGTACCTAAAAAGATGGTTCTTCAAAGGAAGGGTTCTATTTTTCTATATATATATTTGCATGCTTAATTGGTTCTTCAGGTTGATGGAGAAGCTTGGCAGGCTTGTAACAACAGAAGAACCCTTTCTGGTGCTACACAGAACGATTTTTCTCAAAAAAGGTCTATATACATCACATTCTGCATCAATCTGAAGAACCATTTCACCATGTAAAGAAGATTTAAGCATGAAATGGTTCTATATAGAACTCATGGTTCTAAACAGAACTGTTCCTGTTACTAAAGAACCATTTTTATGAGTGCACAATTCATTTATGTATTTTTCCAATACAGACTGTGAGAAGGCAACTCAAATTAAAGGGCTTGTATCATGGAAAACACATCCTGTATGAATAAAAATAATGCGTGGCCACACTTTATTAATGCGTGGGAACGAGATCCTAACGCATGGCCATGACTTAGTAAGATCTTAGTAAGGCTTACGAAGTCGTGGCCATGCATTAGGATCTCGTTCCCACGCTTTACTAAGTCGTGGCCACGACTTAATCATCTCATTCTCAAGCCTGACTAAGTCGTGGCCACGCGTTATTTGTAATTATACAGGATGTCACCAGCAGGGCTCCGTAGAAAACTGAATATTCCTGACAAGAAGTTATTTTTCCAGTATGCAAATGGTTTCAGTGTTTAGTTTCAAATCATAACGAGGAACCTCAGTCCACACGTGGAAATGTAATGGCAAAATTTTGAAGTCACTGTTTTTGTGATGTCACAAAAAGCAACATATTTGCATATATCCACCTATTCAACATGCAGTCCATATATGCTTAAGTTATGAGCCCAGACTGCTTTTTGAATGAGGCGCAATATAGAACAGCCAATCAGAACGGAGGTCATTTACATATATGAGTCTTAAAGGTGCAGAAATAAAAACAGACTGACTCTGAGGGATGAAGAGAGAATGGAAAATCATGTAAAAATGAATTATCTTTGGTAGAGTTGTAATTCATACAAGTTTAATAAGTGATCATGAGAAGCAGGAAGTGCAACCAACTTCTAAGACTGAACTTTGGAGGTGTGTCTGCAGATTTCTTAGAGAAACTGAAAGTCTCCAGAAAAGAACGGAAGCTGTAATAAAGGTAAATGTAAAGCAAGTGGACACAATGAAAACTGAAACAATATATTAGATTTAGTTGTTCTGTGTAATTTTCTGTTTATGTTTCAGCTTTTTTTCCTGACACTGAAAATTGAATAACTAGAACTTCCATTTTGACTGGAAAAGAAATAAATGAATGGTGGTCTCTGACTTTTGCACAATACTGCAGTTTACTAAATATGCTGAAAGCAGGTGGTGCCCCCCTTGAAGTCCTGTAGTTCGGTGATTTCCCTTCTAACTAAGCCAGGGGTCGCAACCCAGATGTTAAGAAGAGCCATTTTGTCCTTTCAACAAAAATCAAACCACCTTGAGAGCCACAACATTTTATGTCCATTTTATCATCTTGGCTGTAAACATGTCTCAGTGTGTACTGATGTGCTAATATAGGCTGAAAATAATGCAGACTTTGCTCTGCTTTAAGCTTTAGCTCAGCTATAGCCGCTTTTCTCACATCTCTGGCAGGAAACATTTTTCCTCAAAAGTAGAACAGTTTCTTCTAAAATTTCTCTCAACGTTCGACTTTTTACGAGGCTGAAGTCGCTTCTCATTCCCCAGCTTGTTGTTCAAATTCTCCTGTTCCACCTTAAATGGTGAAGTGGTTACATTCTGGCACCTCAGGCACCGTTTAAGGTGGAACAGGAAAATTCAAACAAGAAGCTGGAGAATGAGAAGCCGACTTCGCGACTTTTTAGTGTTTTCAGTTTCTCATTGTAGATTAAACGTATCAGGAAACCAGCTGGAGTGATTATAAATGCAAATCAGTCCATTCATCTCCAAATTATCGATGTTCGTCTTAAATCTTTGCCTTTTTGTTAGCTACTAGCTAGGCGAGACTCTCTGCGCACCAGTCTTCGGTGAATTAGTAGTTATAGGCTGCGTTAACTCCAACGTTTAAGACCAGTTATTGTTAAACTGTGTTGAACGATCAGCAGAGCTTTATTTTACCCTAAAGGAGGATTATTTTATTTTTACCTACAAATCTAATCCTGCTGTGGAGCCACAACAGGGCAGTAAAAGAGCCGCATGGTGCCGACCCCTGGCCTAAGGGAATTACACCTTACTCACAATAGGTTTATTGGGTGTGCGGACAGCGAGAATAACAAACCGTGCTGGACTCCAGCCCCCCAGGACCTGATTTGGGCAGCTCCCCTGGTCCAGAGAGAGATCTGTGATTTGTTTAATGCAAATTAGGTTGTGATATTTGCATATAATAGTAATACACATCAAAAGTAAGGAAGCCAACTGTTTAAGAAAATCATTTATTAAAAAAAAAAGTGCAAATAACCTAAAAATGATACTCGTCATTTTTCCTCTCAAGACTTTTTGAAGATGATAATCAAAACACCTGTTAATTTTACTTTTACAATTGACTTTCAAGGTGAGCGGAGGAGCCAGATAGCAGCAACAGAATCCAGGACACACCGAATGACGCATAAAAATTAAGTTATGATTGGAACAAAAAAGGGGTGGAAAACAAAACAAAAAAAAAAATCTCACCACATAAAACAAAATGCACAGAAATCAGAGCACAACACACCCTTACTCTACTGTCCCAGGCCTGCAGTAAAAGCCCCACAGAAGAAGCTCTGCTCAGCGGGTGAGGATCAGTAGGTTCTCCTAAGACTGAGGATTGTATGGAGCCACACTCAGGCGCTCCAGCTGTGTCTACAGTTCATCTTTAGTAGGTTTGTCATCGTCGTTCTCGTCGTCCTCCTCCGCTGGGCTGGGCTCCTCCGTGGTTTCCTCCTCGTCCTCTTCCTGCTCGTCCTCCGGCTCCTCATCTTCTTCCTCGTTATCGTCGTCTTCATCCTTCTTGCTCTTGTCCTCCTCTTCCCTCTTTTTCCTCTCCTCCTCTTCCTGCTTCTCCTTCATTTTCTTCTCTGGGCCCTGTTGCACAGAGATGTATATATGTTATGCGTATTACGTTACATATATACTTTAATTCAAACATAATTCTGCATTAACACATGTAAGTCTTTCAGCACACCAGCGTCAAGATCTCAAGGTATGGCACGACCTGGAGTGTGTTATTTCATTAACGATATTTATTATGAGAGCCTCCTGATGATGCTGCTGCTGCACAGACTCAAACTATTTAATCATAGCTACTGCCTAACCTGCTTTTCCCCTTTTCTGTATTTTAATATCTTTATACTCATGTTAAAACCTTATCGTCTGTTCATCTTTTGCTCTTTTGTTATCATTTGCTATCCAGTGCCGACCAGAGGAGGATGGGTTCCCCTTTTGAGTGTTGGTTCCTCTCAAGGTTTCTTCCTCTTGCTCCTAAGGAGTTTTTTCCTTGCCACTGTCGCCATTGGCGACGCTCATGGCATCTCAGACCTGGACTTTTTTGTAAAGCTGCTTTGCAACGTCTGTTGTAAAAAACGCTGTATAAATAAACATTGAAACTTTATTGCAAAGTAACGATGACACAAAAACTGTTAAACCAGACAGTTTATTTACACTCCGCAAATGTAGATGTCTGCACTGGAAAACGACACTTCAAAGAAAAATTCCAGCTATTTTTCAAAAGTTCTGTATAATTAAATGGTGAAGATGTAAACAGAGTCATTCGGAGTGGTTTAGTGTTAAATGCTTTGTTCTAGAGACACTTGCAGTCAGAATTGTTCACAGTGGGGGTAATAGGAACCAGACATCTCAAGAGATGGAGAAATTCCTCCAAACTCCTTCTCACAGAAAATGACCAGATGATATTACATGATGCAGTTGTTTTACGATAGTTTTGAGACATGAATTTGGCCACCAGAGTATTTTCTAAAAGCCATTTTTTCAGATTTTGCACTATTTTAATATCAACAACACTGCATTTAAACACTCACAAGACGCGTGTAGGTTTATTGATGGTTTCTGGATAGCTGTGTTCCCATCACCACCACTGTAAACAGTGGCTGGTATAGTGTAGCGGGTAACACCTCTGCCTTCTATGCTGTAGGCTGGGGTTCGATCCCCGCATGGGTAATCACCCTACACTATACCAATAAGAGTCCTTGGGCAAGACTCCTAACACTGCCTTCACCTACATGTGTAAAATGATCAAACTGTAAGTCACTCTGGATAAGAGCATCTGCCAAATGTCGTAAATATAAAGAAATCTGAGTCAGCAAGTTTCCCTACAGTGAACCAATCCGAATGACTTGTTTACATCTCAACCACTGAATTATGCAGAAATTTTGGAAAATAGGTGTAATTCCCCTTTAGCTAGCAACACATTATACAAATGCAGTATCAGTAGCTGAAAGCAAAATAAAAAAATGAACAGATCGCTTTTAGCAGTCTGGCAATTTCCCTGTTTCCAGGTCTCGTTTCTGTTCAGACTCCTTAAAATTAGAGGAAGGTTCACACACATTACCTCTTAGATGAGTTTCTCCTCACCCATTTTTGGATAAATTAACCCTGTGTGGGTTTGACTGTAGGATTTGTTGAGGTGTAACATCAGTGCGATGCAACAAAAGTAAGTGGACCATTTTTTGCTTAGTGTCCGAATCATAAACCGGAATTCCAGAGTGATTTTGAGGGCACTAGAAACTCCCACATGTAAATGTTAGTGAACACATAGATTGTGTGGTGTATATATATATATATATATGCTGCTACTTTGCACATCCTTGGTTTTAAATTTTGATAGGAAAAAAATATTGTAGTTTTATTTATCTTCTGTATCAGCAGGAACGTTAATTAAAACCGTGAATTTTGGAATAAGTTAGTCATTTATATTGTCTTCATTGTTAGTTAGCAAATGCATAAAACAAAAAAAGCTAAAATTAAAAGCTGATAGCTAAATAAGTGTTATTTGGAAATGGTAGTGATTCATAATCCGAACAATTGATTATTCGTTTCAGTAATCAGTAGATTATTCGACTATCAAATTAGTCGTTTGTTGCAGCCCTATTGTACATAGCAGAGAGATTTTCTACACAGGTCCATCCTGCCTCTGTATATTTTGTGTATATTTTTTATATTTCAGTTTTAGTATTTTCTTTTTGTATTTTTACTTTGTTTTGTCTGCACTGTTTTTAGTGTGTATATAATGCTGCCCGGCTGTAGAGCGAGTACCTGAGCCTCACCACAAGCATTTCAATGCATTAATATCCTGACATGTTGTGCAAATGACAAATAAACTTGAAACTCGAAACATGAAACCTGAAACTCAATGGTGGCCACAAAAATCATCAGACTCTCTGGACGGCTCTGTATAGTTAAAAACAAGGACCACAATTCTGCTCATATTAGTCCAAAAACCCTCACTGGTAAATGCAGGTGACTGTAGTCAAGCACCAAGAATTAAATATATACCCGAGTAGTTCTTTCCGTTTCCTTGTGACCAGTTATGATTAAGAGGGCCGCTTCAGCCTCTCAAGCAGCTGCTGTTGGTTTGTTTATGCAGCTGGTGAATAGTGAGACAGGCTCATGAGGTGAAAGTGTCAGAATTCATTTATTAATTCATGTGATTTTACCACTATTTAATTAACTAAACAGTTACATATATAGTACAACTATATGAGGGAGTAGAGATGCGTTAAAACCTACTGCCATTCACTTCTGGTGTCAGCGGTCTAGTTCATTACAAAGGCAGCGCTTTAGTTTTCTCGTGGTTGCTCGATTGCGTCACTTGCCGTTTAAGACAAGAGGTCACTTGTTCTAGGTCTTTTCTCTAGGGTGGTTACTTGTAACAGAGACATTATAAGTCCTATTGCTTTGTAATCGGCTTTGTTGTGGTTGTTATGCAGTTTGGTAGCACTTTACTGTAGGGTGCTGTTCATAAGCACATAAGGAGTGTCACCTTGCCCTTAGGAACTGAGTTACAAGGGGTAGTGGTTGAAATCTTCCCTCTGAAATGGGACCCTCAAATAAAAAGAGCATCACTTCATTAACAGCTACTAGCGCTGCTCTGTAGGCGACCCTGCCAGTCTGCAGTGACAGCAGAGGAGGGTAAAGTTCAGCTCCTCACTGCTGGGCTTTAGTTACATTTAGGGCATCATATGCCTTCAAAGAGGGGGGCAATTATTTATTATCACCCACCCCTAATTCTTCAGTGATATGAAGCTGAAGTCAGATATTCGCCAGCTTCTTTGTCGAATTTCCCCACATAACAAGCATCCCGTTCCACCTTAAAAGGGGCAGCAGTTACTTTCTCTGTCTCTGAAAAAACCTCTGTTTGGAGGGTCATGTAGCCCTAACACTTCACTGTACCCCTCTAATTCAACAAAAATCGGGACACCCTACCCCTAGATGTGAACACACAAAACGGAGGGGTAGAGCTAAGTGGTAGGGGCGAGGGGTGAAATGGGATTGGACCCAAAATTGGCCAATGTAACCTCTATGACACCTTTTGGAACAAGAACTTCTAAACACTTATGCTGGGTTATGTCTGTTGCCACAGAGCCTTATGAACAGCTGTTTTTTGTCGTTGGTAGGTTACAGGAAAATAAGGTGGAGTGATTCGTTCGGAGTGCCATTATCGGGAGATACTCAGATTGCCGTTTATCCAACCACACTGTGAGGTCGGAGCTGACTGTAGTGTAATGTACAATTAATTAAAAAAAGATTTATTACATTAGATTAGATTAGATTAGATTAGATACAACTTTGCCACTGCACTGACAAGGACAAAATAGCATAAATGTGCAAAATAAATAGAAAATTATGTTACCTTGGTGGCTCCCCACGTCTCTTTCCCAAACTCTTCTGCCTCCTTCACGTCATCAGTGATCAGGAAGTTGTCAAAAATGGTACCAGATTTTACCTGTGAGTAAACCAATGTAATCAATATCGGAACATAGCATGCTAGAACTGTGCTAGAACTAGCTAGAACTGTGCACTTTTTCCAAATTCAGTCAAAAAAAAGAAAGCTCAAAGCATCACTTTGTTTCTAGATGTCAGTTTAAGTTTAAGCTATCAAGAATGGGACATCAACCCCCCCTTGAACCCCAAAACTACTATGGCTGTTGATCTTAAAATATGATAATAAAGATTAAGGACTTCTTAGTGAGTACTTGTAATGTAAAAAATGTAATTTATGTAGATATGAGAGTGAGAAACTAGAGTCTGGGTCGTTCGGGGATGAGGGGATACTGTACATGTGTTCTGATGGGAAACAGCAGTGCAGTGAAAGAATGCTGACAGTGTGTAATGCCATGTTAACAGCAAGTCAATAGACGTATTATTCTAATACACTATTTTTAAGTTATGAAACTGTACCTGCCACAGATCTAATCCGATAACACCAATGTTATCGTATTTGTAAATGGAATCGTCTGGTGTGTATTCAGGGTTATCGATCTCGGGATGCACCCACGCTCCTTTGTAGTTGGGGTTGTCAATCTGTTTGGGTTTCCATTCACCCTGTAAAACAATAAATAATAATACATGAGTGACTTGGACTGTTTGTGGGTAATTTAAAAGATACTGAGCCTTTATTCATAAACAGTCCCGCAGGACCGCTGTGTCTTACTGCTCTGTAGCACTTACGACAATATTTATCAAGTAAATAAGGACACAGTAAAGAACCAGTTTAACTGGTATCCAAATGAACTTCCTTCCATTCCACTCTCCTGAGATTAGGACCTGATTCTGGATCAGTGTTCTTAATGTGAGGTTCTAATCAGAGGAAACCTCAATGCAGATCTTCAGCACTTCGACTCAGATACAGATTACGAATGTAAAACAACTCAGTTTTGTAATCATGCATCAATTTTAAGGTGGCAATTCAATTACCGTTCAATTCAACTCAATTAAGTTCAATTACCAATTCAATTAATATAATATTCCCTTATTTTGCCAGTTTTTTCCAAAATGAAATTCTCAGGATATTTTTAAACATAAAAATCTCTTGGTTTATTGTTTTATTGTCTCTATTCCACTACTATGTACAGCTCCTCCAGTTCTATTTGTACAATCACTGCATTTTTCAAATAACTCAACTGTATCAAAATACTTTAATCAAATCGAGGTGAAATGTGAAATTTCATGATGCACTAAACAGTTTCTGAAAGGATCATAAGTGAGTTGGTTTGCACTGATTTGTAGTCAGAGATCTCCCTCCATTGCCTTTTAAACTCCACTGACGTTTCTACCTTATACTCCGGGTTAGGAATCATAGGTGGCTCCCACTCTCCATCCATGTCTTCATCCCAGTCATCGGGCTTCTTGGCATCAGGATCGGGAATGTTCTCTGGTTTATCCCAGTCCTGAAGCAAAGAAAAAAAAATGTGAGTTTTCCATTTTTCGGGAGATCTGTTTTAATCCCTGAAACAGCCGGTATATGTGTATGTGTGTGTGTGTGTGTGTGTGTGTGTGTGTGTGTGTGTGTGTGTGAGAGAGTGTGTGTGTGTAAAACCCAGCAAATAAACTGAAATTGTGCACAAAAATTACTGAAAATTACTTATTTCCACTTACAAAATCAACTAAACATATAATTTCGCTGACCAGAGGTGTTCAAACTTTTGCATACAACTGCATACATATTTTAGGTTTATGCCATAAAGCCTATTATTAATCCGGCTAAATCTATAGTGCTTGTAAAGACCTTACAAGCCAGAAAATCATGGCCAGGCAAGTTACATTTTAATATAAGCACTCTAATTATTAAAGATGCGCATAAGCCACTAAAGCCAGTTTTATAACTGCTTATAAAATTAGAATTACAGCTTAATTTGTGTGAATTGGAGACTAATTCAAAATGACTTGGTCTCTAATCCCTGTTTAAGAAAACAATGAATGGAATATATAAAATAAAGGCATTTCTGACTGAGAAATAATAATGGCTGATGGCTAAAACTGACCTCTGGCTTTGTGTCCTCGGGGTCATCGATTTTTGCGCGGTCGTCCCAGTCCTCTGGCTTCTTGGCTTCGGGATCTTTGATCTTTTTCGGAGGAAGGAAGTCCCAGTCTTCCTCCAGAGAGCCGGATTCCACTTTCTCATTGTTAATTTTGACCTCGTATGTCTGATCAGGATGGAGGATGAGGGTGTACAGGTGTGTGTGCTCATCGTCCTGGAAGGAAAAGTGTAAAATAATTGCATAAGAATTCCTTTGAAAGTTTTTTTTTTCCTATATCTGCAATGGAATTCTGCTACGAATCCTGAATGAAATGGATCAGTTTTGTGAAATCGACTGATTACTCACTTTGCATCGGATGTCTTTCTTGATCAGATGGTTCTGGCCCTTGTAGTTGAAAATAACGTGCACTTTCTTGGTGCTGTAGCCACAGATGTCCGGGCCTGTGGAAAGAGGAAATGCAAAACAATCAGTTGTCCACTTAAAATGCAGTGAGTGACAGACTGATTTGGGACGTTTACCAAACACGATTAATTTTTCACGGCATGTCATTAATAGCAGGGATGCAGGATGATGTCAGAATCATATTGGTATCGACACAAAATGGCTTAAATAAATGGTCCCACTTTATATTAAGTGTCTATAATAACTGTGTAGTTACACGTGAACAACATATGCAACAGCAATGTAACTACTGATGATTTAGTCAGTGTTACAGATGGATTACAGAAGTAATTTCACACGTGTATCAACTTCAGTTTTGCCTCATGTAATTACACAAGTGTAACTTCTACAGAGGAACTTTCCTGTAGTGCAGTGTTAAACTTATACTTTAAAATAAGTGGACAGTTCCTGTGTAGTTGTTAAGTAGTTACTGTGTAATAATGCAGTGGTAATATAGACATTTCTTTTAGTTCAATGCAACACATTTAATTAATGTCACATTAGCTGCATTTTAAGATAAGGGGTCGTCTGCTGTTCTGTCACATTACAGAATGGTTCAAAGCTGAAACTGGTTACAGTGTCACAGCACTAGCAACATAAATGCTAGCTAAGTGTTATGAAAGCTGGCAGATATAATAAGTAATGTCTTAATGTAAGTTATTACATATTTCCTTTTACTGCTGGAAAAAGAAAAAAAAACTTCTGAAAAAAGCTGCTGTTCCAGTCTGATTACAATGTAATTACATTTATGTTATTACCATTGTGTAATTACATGAGAGAAAACAGGCTGTTAGAACTATTAAGATACAGTTGTGTAATTACATAAGGTGCACTTCTGTAATCATCTGTAACAGTGACTAAATCATTAGTAGTTACATTGTTGTTGCATATGTTGTTTGCATGTAACTACACAGTTATTAGAGACACTTAATATAAAGTGGGACCAAACAATTTAATCAAAGAAGGTTTGGTTTTGGCTGATATTTCAAAGCAATATTTGATGAAGTATTTGTTGTACCTTGGAGGAGTAGAATGTTTAGGTCACGCTGGATTCTGGCACTTAAATATCTGCATTTTATTCATTTTACTGCATTTGTATAGGTTATGTTATGTACTTGCAATTCAAGGTGGTTTTGTCCCAATTTCTAAATTTTTTGTACCTGTTTATGTATTAACATCACCAGATAAGTACATTAAAAATACCAGATATCGGCATCGGCCCACAATTCCCGTATCAGTGCATCCCTCCTTAATATTTCAGTTTACTTTAAGTTTGTGTATTCAACAACTGTACGCGTCTCTGGGTTACTGGGTTATTATAAGAGTGCTATAAATATACTGTAATTATTAATACTGTTATTTGTATTATAATAATTTGTACTAATTTGCAGAAAAACTGAAAATATTTATGATTTCTAGATTATAAATCAGATCTAATGAAAGTTCTTTAAACAATGTGCTACTAATCAAACATCTGACCGAAGTGAGCAGCACTGCGTGTGGACGAGGCTCACCAAACATGACGTAATACTGGGAGTCTCCGTGCATTTCGGCCTGGTCCAGGTCAGCAGGGAAGACTTTCACATATCCGCCACCACAGTCAATCTTCTGCTCGTGCTTCACCGTGAACTGGATCACTAGATCTTTACCTTCATTGCTGAAGGGCTCAAACCGACTGGACAGGGCGTAGAAGCGGGCGTCCTGGCTCGTCTGAAGACCTTCGGGGACAGAAACATGAATCAGTATACATGGAGAAGAGACATCATCTGGACTGTTATTCAGTGAGTTGGTGAATATGTGTGTGTTTCAGTTGCTGAAGCAATTTGGATGATCTTTTCTTTTGTCTTCAGTCGATTTGCATGAGTTTCCTATTCAGATCAAGATATTTGCTTATACAAAGTCCATTTTCACCAGCGCCCACCTGCACACAAGAACGAAATCTCACCTTTGTCCAGTTCAGCATCGCCGTAGAACTTCCCTGCAGAAAGTTTCCACTGACCGTAGTCTGATTTGTGTTTGGATTCAGCCCATCGACTCTTCCATCCATCTGCAAAATGAAAGAAAGAGTTTTCAAGATATAAGAAACCTGTAAGGAGCAACAGATATGCAGAGCAAACATATATGAAAAACTTTGCCTGACTTTTTTTTAAAGTAAACAGGTTTGAAGTTTGAATTAACATTGTTTAAAGTTAAAATGTACCTTTTACTACAAAGTCCTTATAAGGAAATCAGTGTCTCAAAGACATGGTATAGTATAGTACAGTATAGTGAAGGACAAAGAAAGGTTGGAAATGGTAATGCAAAAATTAATTATGACTGGACCTCTAGGGAAAAATAAAATCCAATAAAAATGTAGTATATTGGCCCTTTAATCCTCGCTGCAAAAACAGCTGACTTTCACAAAGAAAACCTTAGAAAATGAAACTGAAAACTAAAACTGCACCCATATTTGTCAAAGACATTTTCCAAGAAACCTGGGGACGTTTTAGGGATATTTGCATTAATTTGACTGTCTGTTCTGCACCATCAAGATGCGTGGGGGAAAAATTAATAATAGTGCATTAAAGAGCTCAAATCAAGGAAAACCAAACTTTCCTTGCTTTTTTGGGAATGAAAGATTTTTAATAGTGTGGGAGATAAAGTTTTGAAATATCACTCCCCAGTTCGCATAGTTCATATATTTATAAACTAAAACGCAAAAACAGCTCATTTTGAATTCATCATTTTTGTGATGAATCACACTGTGGAAACAGTACTGCAACTGGAAACTACCTCATCTGTGGATTACTGTTATTATACCATTGTAATAGTCACTGTAACTCCTATATATACACATACATTTATTGGAGTTACAGTTACTATTACAGTAAATAATCGCTGTTGAAGAAAACCTCATATCTTTACAGGAGAAGGAAAAAACCTACTTTACTTTTAATGTAAGTCAATGGAACCAGAATTTTTTCCAAGTCATTTTGGGCCGTTTCTTTTAGTCCAATCATCATGAAATTTATATACAATGTAAAGGACATCATGCAATTTTAAATTATGTCTAAAAACTGAAAATTGGCAAAAATGGTGCTACAAGATTTTCTACACAAGGTTGTATAGTATTTCTATCTATATTTTTCCTTATTCTATATTAATATTTTTACCTTACGTATGTGTATTCCATGTTTGTCTTGTATGCTGTGCTGCTGGAACACTCTAATTTCCCTTTGGGAATTAATAATGTGTTTTCTCATCTTTCAGACAGGCATTTAGCCCCGCCCATTCACACTAAAGTTATAAAGAGTGTTTCAGCTTAGACAAGCACAGGACAGCCAATCAGAAGACAGATATTTACATACATCAGTCTATAAAATGGCACAGTAACAAAAGGAAAACAGAGAAATAGGAAAATAGTCCTGTTTTTGGTGCACACAAACGTCACAAGTGGATAAAATAAAATAAAATGCAAGAAAAAAGTAAGATATGGGCCCTTTAACATATTTCACTGAATAGATAAATACTATTAAATAACATGCATTTCTACAGCAGGCAGGGCGAGTTATGACAGTCATAAGTTGATTTGAATAAATTCCTCACTGCTCAAGTAAAAATAGGTCGAAATAATAATAAAATTGGCCAATCAAATGAACTTGGTGCTACATTAACAGGCAGTGTAAAGGCTGCACCATTTAAGGTGGAACTGGGAAATTTGAGCAAGAAACTGGCGGATAGGAAGCCAAACGAAAGCAAAGATGATTTACCTCCGTCCAGAAACTGCTCTTTGAAGAACACAGTCGCATTAGCAGCCGCGAGTAAGGTGAAAACTGCAACGGCGATCCTCATATTCGCACCTTCTGAGATGTTTCGGTGAAGATCTTTGTGTTTTAGTTTGATTCGGAGCCCTAAAATCGGAGAAAAGACACAGAAGGAGACGAAACTGGGCAGCAGGATCCCGGAGCTCTGCTGTTCCTGCACAGATGGCCGCGGCTCATTGGACTGAAGCTCGTCCAATCAGATCACACCACGAGTTATGACGCCAGCTCAGGGGCGGGGTGTGGTGCCACCAACCGTCTCTCCAGAAAATCCTGCACCCCCTGTTTTCCCGCCGCGATCTGATTGGACGAACCGAGGAACCTGTGCTGTCAATCAACGACATTGGGCGGAGAATGGGTGTTTTTAGGTTGACTAAGCTGTGAATGTGCGTGTTTTTTAGTGAATTTCAGTGTATTTGTGAATAAACGACGCTGTTTGTAGGTTACACAAGTGAACACAAATAGATGACTGTAACCGAAATTTGCTAGCTTGCTAGCTAACCGAGCTAAACCTTCACAGAGCCCTATCGAACCTATAAAGCTTTTTAAATTAAGTGAGCTAAAAAGTTCTCCAGTCGTCCGTTTATTCAAATCAGCACAAGTGAAATAGCATGTGCTGTTATATTTTTGACGCATTATTTAGAAGACTTTTTAGAAGACTGTTGACTTTAAATCAGGCAGGCACGACAGCTACCAAAGGGTCCTTAGGGTGCAAGCTGCGCAGAGGGACGCAGGATTTTGCACCACAGCGACCTCGTGTTATTTTACAGATGTTTAAATGTTACCTCACCGGGTCCAGGTGGAGCAAACGAGCAATCTCATTCAATTATATATATATATATAATTTAATGAGATTGCTCGTTTATATATATATATATATATATATATATATATATATATATATATATATATATATATATATATATATATATATATATTCCATGTTACTTACTTTGCATACAACCAGTCACAGCAGTGAAAATCAACATTTAAGAAGTAAAGGGTGCTTAATGTAATAGTTTGGTGAAAGATCAACCACCGCTTACCCAGTTACCCAAAAGGAGTTCTTTAGTAAATGCAGTGGTTCAATTTAGAACCATAAGGTCTATATAGAACCATTTGCATCCTTAAATGGTTCTTTGCATAGTGAAATGGTTCTTCAGATTTATAGGGAATGTGTTGTGTATTCAGTGGCGGACGAAGTACACAAATCATGTACTTGAGTTAAAGTAGAGATACCCAAGGTAAAATATTACTCCAATAAAAGTAGAAGTTCCTCCCTTTAGACCTCCACTTGAGTAAAAGCACAAAAGGATTTGCCTTCAAATGTACTTAAGTATCAAAAGTAAAAGTACTAAAAGATTAATTATGGCTCTGATGTCCTGTTATCATTTTTATAACCAGACTCTGCTTCATGAACTCATTTTAGGTGAAAATACTCCAGTGTCTCTCTTGGTAAACCAGTCTTTTAATAGAATGTCATTAATTAGTGACGCTGATGTCTATTAAAATTATCATGAGCACAAAACACTGAAGGCAAACAGTTTCCATCAGGTAGAACTGAGTGGCTCTGAAATCACTTTTTACAAACAAGCAAAGTTTCAGTTTAAGATTTTTTTGCAACTTAGTTACAAGTTTAAGATTAATAAAAACTTTAAACTCAGATTCACAAATGAGTTTCCTTTACTAAACTGCATCTGTAGGTCTCTGTTCATAAACATAAACTAGCCAAAACAAATTTACTGTAAAATGAAATCGCGTTTGTATAAATTCAGAAAAAAGAAACACGTTAGTCACAACTGCATATGTGTACATATTTCTATATTGTGGTCTGTTTACACAAAGTTAGGTCAGTTCATCATTTATGTTGAATAGACTCTCCCAAAATTTTACGCTGCTGCGCTGATGTTGAACCGTGTGCTGCACTGGGTCAGTATGACCAACAGGTCAAAACAAGCTCAAAACAAAGCGCGCGGTGCCCTGATTGGTGTTCTTGCTTCGTGCTTCTTTCATTTTGACATGTTATGTTTTTATACACACATAAACCAAAAGGAACAACAGATTTCTCATAATGTAGTGGAGTAAAAAGTGAGATATTTGACTTTGAAATGTAGAGGAGTGAAAGTAAAAAGTCACCCAAAAAAAAAAAAACTTTATTACAAACAACTTCATTACAAAAAAACTTCAGTAAAGTACAGATACAGGAAAAAACTACTTAAGTAAGGTAACAAATTACATTTACTTCGTTACTGTCCACCACTGTGTATATTTTTAAAAGCACCAAAAATGGTTCTGCTCTTGATACCATGTCAAGCTTCTTGTTTTTTTGCCTGCACTCTTAAAAAAGATTTTTCAAGGGTTCTTTAGTAAAGAAAATGGTTCTATATAGAACCATGAACAGTCACAGAACCCTTGCATGCTTAAAGGGTACTTCACATCATGAAAGTGTTCTTCAGACTGATGGAGATTGTGCCGGAGATGGTTCTATATTGAACCTTTTTGAAAAGGTTCTGCTATTGTAACAAGCTTAACATCGTAACAATGCACTCTGAGCAAAAACGGTTCTATATAGTACGAAAAAGCGTTCTTTGGCTTCTAAGAGTAGTGGAATCCTGTTCTGCAACACTTTCTCCATCAATCAGAAAAACCCTTTCATGATGTGAAGAGTGAGTGTTCATGGTTCTATATAGAACCATTGTCTTTACTAAGTAACCCTTGAATAACCATAAATTTTAAGTGTATCCTGTATTTGATATTATTATTTTAGGGCTTTATCTTGAAAATAAAAACATATGATAAAAAAACAGTGTGTTCATTAAGCAATAGAGGGAGTGTGTTATCGTGAAATATTGTCGATAACACACTCCTCGAGTGTTCTATTGCTTTTATACAACGATTAAATAAATCAAGTAATAAATAAATAAACTGGGCTGTGAATGCGGCGTTTAATATGTTTTAATGTTCGCAGTACCAAATTATAGTTCCTTAACAAGCAGTTTGTTGCTACATCAGAGTACCAGCTGGCAGTTCGTTCTCCAGCTCCTTACACTAAATTCCCAAACTGTCATCACCACTGAGCAGCTTTTCAGTCGGCAGCCGTGACAGAATAACAGCTAAACAACCTGGAATCAGCCAGAAATGAACCCAATACCATTCGCCAAACGTGTAGTCTGATCTTCAGAGTCTGACCAAATCAGACTGAGCCATAAAACTGCCGCAATATCAAGTTTAGCTCAGTTTTGTCAGTTTTTGCCAGATCAGTATTAATGTTGTTTTGTTCCAGCCAGTCTGTAAAGCATCTTACAGCCCATTTAGTTTGGCGAATGGTGTTGAGTTCATTTCTGGCTGATTCCAGGTTGTTCAGCTTCTGTTTCAGCTGCCGACTGAAAAGCTGCTCAGTGGTGATGACAGTTTGGGAATTTAGTGTTGTCTCATCTTCAGAGTCTGACCAAATCGGCTGTCGGTCAAATGTGATCTTAAAAGTGTCCATTTTCTGTTTGTGCAAAGTAAGATGTAAAAACGCTGTCACACAACGGCGTCTCAGTGGAGTGATACAGTGTGATGTTATGTTGAAATAACAGTACGATTAGAACGCTTCTCAACCAATCAGCTTGCGTGGCCGGAACTAACTGTTGTATAATAATAAATAGCTAAGCTATAGATATGGGGAGTGGCTTTGTGGGAGTGACTGAATGTGTCTGTGTTTTGGTCATTCTGACTATTTTAGTGCCCTTTTTTCGGTGATTTTTTGACCAGAATAAACCTGTTTTAAAACCCTGCAAAAACATTTTGCCTTTTTTAACGTGAATAGTTTAACAGTTAATAGGAACTACTATTTTTTTTTAACAACAATGACAAGAAAACAACAAAGAAAAGGCATGTATGAGTCCACTCTATCATGCATACGTCCGCACTGTTATGGTAAGATGGACAATAGGGTGGACAGTTTTAGCTTAAGTTAGCATCTGATGAACACATGTTTGAGTTGCAGACATGCTGAAATGTTCAATATGATCTGGTTTTGTTTCAAATATATATTTTCATATTCTCTAATTATTTTAATTAACTTGATATTTCACCACGACAGGCTGGGCATCTTAGGCTTGACCCAAGCTAAGTATGGAGACAATTTAGGAAAAATTATGTTAAATGAATTCATATAGTTACTGTACATAAAGCAGGTGTGTTCAGTCCATTGACGATAAAACAATATTAAGCTTACTCATATCAAAGGTCACTTTCTTAAAGGTGTCATCATAAATAGCTTGACATTTTTATGAAAATGGCAAAATGGATAACCAAAATGCCTAAATTATTAATAAACTTTAAGAAAGTTTAGTAGTAAAAAAGGTTGTGTTATTTAACCACCTCAAAGGGTTATTCAGCTTAACCCCTGATGGCAAGAGGATAGTGGACCACTGTCGGCCCGCTAATGGCAAAGCTGTTGGTCCACTGGCGTTTTGCTCAGCATTTTCTGGGTGGCCCACCGGTGTTTAAGCAGAGTAACAAGACAAAATTCCACTTATCATCACTCATTTTTCCCTCACTTACTGATTTTCCCTTCCTTCCTTTCTTTAGTTTTACTTTGTAAATTAGTTTAGTAAGTAATTTTAATCCAGCTCAGAGTCAGAAACACCATTTCCTATAAAATCATTTTATATCAGGCCTAGTCATGATTATTTTTCTCTCAGTTGTTTGTAATAAAGTTTATTTTCTAAAATAAAAGTCTCTAGGCATTAAAAATCTGTTTGAGGAGATTAAAAACTGGTTAGAGGTTGTATGCAGGACAGTAATCTGGGTGGTCCGAGGGTGAACCAGCAGTGGCAAACAGTCAGCAGGGTGCCAGCCTTATCAAGCCAGTGGACAGATATATGCTGTTATCTGGGAACCATGCAGCACCTCCCCATCTCCACATCTGAGTAAACAGTATAAAATGTACAGAATGTGATGTGTTGTAAAGTGAAGGTTACCATTCTTATTTATTTATAATGATCGATCATTTAGAGTAAAACTTGATGTTTGTATGAAACCTAAACGGCTATGCTGGGAACACCAAAGGCTCATTATATTGATATTGACTCACAGACTCGTAAGACACTCAGTAACCCTGGACCTGTAAATCAGCTCGTTATGTATGTTTTTCAAATCCAACGTGCTCCACTGTGGAGACCGCAGGTGCGGCGCAAACCATTCAGCCTGTTTACGGGGGACCGTTCAACTGTACGAATCCCCCGTGTAAATAAACGCCAAAATGCTGGTATCCACTTGAAAAAAAAATCATTTATTTTAATCTTTTGTAACATATTTATTAATATTGTCGAGTCAATGTACCAGAAAGCGACCGTATATCGACGCAGAGTCCCCCTGCGCCCGAATACGGTTGCAGACGTGCAAGCTGTGTTGCCAGATTGACATCCGTGAATCCAATAAACTCCTCGTGAGTTACAAAAAGAGTGTTTTTCCAGCATTAATATTTCGTTAAAAAAAAGGATAGAATATCTTATGTATATACAGTAGAAAAACAACCAAGAGGTTACCTTTAAATCTTCATTTATTGTACGGAAACCCATTCCCTCCATTTAAAATTAAAAAAGCACCTAATTATTATTTTGTTCATTTTTATGTGAATTGCTATGCCATGATCTTTGAGGTACTATGTTATTATTTTGTGATACTTATTAATTTTAGATTCTGTCTCATTAATTTGAGATGCTTTATTCTTTTGAGATAAATATATATATAATATATATACATATTGAAAAAGCATCTCAAAATCTCACAATAATGACTTATGCAATGACTTAGAATGACTTATAATGGCATAGCAATTCACTTAATAATGAACAAAAAAACAATTAATGGTAGATATGTTTTATTTTATTAGAAGTGGAGAGAATGGGCTTCCGTAGCACTGACAACAAAGCAGGATTACAGGAATCTGGCAACGCGAGAGCTGCTGAACTCCGTTGTCGGGACGCTTTGGTCGTTATGGCGACCGAATTATCTACATTTTAATTGCAGTTTAACGGTTTTAGGTTTTACACCAATAGTAATTTTAGGTTTGGGTCACAATGATGACATTTAAGTAGCACAAATGATTCACCGCCCGCAAAACAACGTCGCTTCCAAGCAGTGTTTACTAGTTAGCTTTAGCGTTAGCATTAGCATTAGCCAGTTAAAGGGAAATGCAATGGGTTTCACTAGTTAGCCAAGGAGCTAACCTATCTAGCCTAGCTAACTTATGATATCTAGAACGGGAGACTGCAGAAGCAGCTCGGAGATATCAGTGATGGTAACGTTAGTTGTTTGGAGACAGTTAATTAGTTAACACTGTATTAACTTGGTTAAGATGGGTTAACTACTATTCACAGTAACTGTCACTGCATGTAGCTTAAGTGGGGTGCCATTAATTTTGGACTTCATCTGCGATGTGGAATCGAGGAGGTTTTCGCAGTGCAGCTCTGGAAAGAGCTAAAGCACAGCTGTCTGGACAGCGGGTTACCAACAGTGGGACACCGAAGAAAAACACACAAAGAGATGTGGGCAGTGTAAGTTAGACTCCTAAAAAAGATGGTTCTTCAAGGGTTCTTTAGTAAAGGGGAAAAACACTAAAAAGGGTTCTGCTATTGTTACAAGCTTGACATCGTATCAGTAGAAGAACCCTCTTTGGTTTTATATAAAACCATTTGCAAAAAAGGTTCTGTATGTCTGAAGAACCATTTCGCTGTGCAAAGAACCATTTAAGCATGACATAGTTGTATGTAGAACTCATGGTTCTAAATACAGCCATTCTCTTCACTAACAAACCCTTGAAAAATCTTTTTTAACCTCTTAAACTCATTGGAAGCACCGGTGGTTCCAAAACGCACTTCGTCATATTCTTCATAACTTTCATATTTCATAAGCTACGTTCTAAAGGTGGGGGTCATATGAGAGCTGTAACTGTCTTCTTTCCAGTCAGATAGATGGGTGATGTAATTTTAAACCCTTATAATAAAAGAAGCTGAACTTACAAGTTTTTTGTCTACTGAAAATCATTTTTCCACAAATCTGAGCTATAAACTATAAACAGATGGCGTCTCTTCAGTGATCTGCACTGTAAAAATTCTTTTTATAAAATAATACAAAGAGCGTCTAAGATTTTTGGCTTTCAGCAGTAAATTGTAAGCATATAGCAATATGTGTGATCATAAAACACATTTTCTGTTAGTTTGAGGGGAGCTTTCACAAAAAAATAAATAAATAAATAAATAAAAATTTGCACTTATTTCATGCAGTCACTGAATAATTTGCCTTACGATTTGGTCATGTAAATATAGATGGACAAACCAAAATATACCCTGGAGAATAAGAGGTTGAGTGTAGACATACGTTTTTTGGGGTTGCTCTAATTTTGCCTGTTCTTGCCTAATTAAATGTTCTGATGTCCTCAGGCAAACTTTGGAAAAGACTTGCTACAAGCCGGACAGACCCCTTTACAAGGACTGAGTGACCTCTCCTCAGAAGATGCAGACAGTGAAGACCAAAGTCATCCTGCTGATCCTGCTAAAGTGGCACCACATTTTGCAGAGCCGTTTGGCATGGGTGGTGGAAGTAGATTTCTGAAGAAGTCTGCCAGCAGCGCTGCGGCAGACAGACAGTTATCTGCCCCTAGCAGGACTCCTGCTGATGCAAGTGACCTCAAGCTCATTCCTCAGCGTAGCTCACAAAGTGTGGCACTAAGCAGGCTTGCGTTAATTGAAGACCGCTTGCGAAATCATAAGAGCAAAAAGCTTGGCCCTGATGTGCCGCTGCCACAGGAGCCGGGCCTTTCCGTCCAGTCTAGCAGTGACTTGAGTATGGCTGGTAGCCGTTTCCTTAAAAAGAAAGTGTCCACTCCTACAGATCAGAAGGACCGTGACAGCACACATGTGGGCAGCTATAATAAGGCTCCTCCACATGTAGCTTCAAATGTGGAAAAACGCATAGACAGTGACGAGGAGGACATGCGTAGACTTCTGGGAGAATCGCTAGACTCACCAGATGCGAGCCTGACCAGAGTCCTGAGACAGAGTCCTCAGGTGTCTGCTAAGGTACTGTGGCAGTGCTGAAGACTTATTCAGAGTGGTTTAAGGTGAAATGCTGCAATCTAGAGAAAGTTACTCAGACTCAGAAATTGTTCACAGCAGCTGTGATGCACAAATCCAGGTTCTCTAAAGTCGACTGTGGTTTCTCACTGTTGGCAAGACAGCAGCAGAGCCATTGATGAGGGGATAGTGTCCAACACATAGTTTACCCACTTGGTTGAGTTTCTACAGATCATAGTGATACAAAAAAATCAATTATACCAAGTTGTGTCAGATGAAATTCAAGTTCTAGGAGTTAAAGGTGGAAATGGCTGTTATGCAATAGCAAACTACACCATATGGACAGAAGTATTGGGACACCTACACATTACACCTACTGGAGCTTTTATGACTCCCATTCTAAATCCATAGGCATTAATATGGAGTTGGTCCCCCTTTGCAGCTGTAACAGCTTCCACTCTTCTGGGAAGCTTCTACAAGATGTTAGTGTGTCTGTGGGAATTTTTGCCCATTCATCCAGAAGAGCATTTGTGAGGTCAGACACTGATGTTGGACGAGAGGGTCTGGCTCACAATCTCTGTTGTAGTTCACCCCAAAGGTGTTTGATGGGGTTGAGGTCAGGGCTCTGTGAGGGCCAGGCAAGTTCTTCCACACCAAACTCACCCAGTCATGACTTTATGGAGCTGCTTTGTGCACTGGGGCTCAGTCATGCTGGAACAGAAGAGGTTCTTCCCCAAACTGTTCACACAAAATTGGAAGTGTACAACTGTCCAAAATGTCTTGGTGCTGAAGCATTAAGATTTCCCTTCACTGGAACTAAGGGTTCTAGACCAACCCCTGAAAAACAGCCCCATATCATCATCCCTCCTCCACCAAACTGTATAGCTGGCACAGTGCAGTCAGGCAGGTAATGTTCTCCTGGCATTTGCCAAACCCAGACTCGTCCATCAGACTGTCAGATAGAGAAGCGTGATTCGTTACTCCACAGAATACGTTTCCACTGCTCCAGAGTCCATTGGTGGCATGCTTTACACCACACCCCAAATGCCCAAAATGTCCATCATGGTGAAAAGAAGAGAAAAGAAAATTAAAATTAAAAAAGTTTACAAAGCTATTACAAGAATTGGTTATAACTACACTAATTGATGCCTGAAGTATTAATTTATACTTATAATTTATACTATTATATTAATAGTTTAATATAAGTTTTTGGCCTAAAATACGTCTTTTTTTCTCGAGAGGTACATGCAGGGTGCTGTTAGACAAATAAATAACCCAAAAAACACAATTTCACCATCATCAACATTACATATGAAACTCAGAAGACACGTGTAGATTCACTGGTAGTTTTGAGTAGGAAATAAAATGGCTATATTTGTGTTGTAGACATCGCAACCCCTGGTTCCTATCACCACCACTGTAAAGGAATCAGAGTCTGTAAATTTCTCTACTATGCACCATTTCACACAAAAGCACTCGGAATGACAATGACAGAACTGTGCTGAAATTTTGAAAATCAGTGGTATTTCCCTTTCACATACTTTAAAGTTAGGATTTTTTAACCATTTTGATAAGAGATTTTGTTATGACAGCAACAGAATATGTACTGATGATAAAATCTCATCTGTTCTCATTATTTCTTTATGTCTCTTATTCCCAGACTTTTATGAAAAGCAGTGTAAATGTGTCCAGCTCGTCTGTCCCGTCTGCCGAACAGCACAAAGAAAAAGCGCATGTTTCGTCAGCATTCACAGCGCAACGCCATCAAAGTGTCTCTCCTTCTCCACCTTCGTCTCCTAAAGTCCTCCCAGCCAGCAGGTCTGGCTCTCGGAGGGCTGTGGTCACTCCGCTGTCCCTGAACTCAGCCTCGGGCCACAGTGAGATCAGGTCACAGGAGGAGCTTTTCCCAGTTGCGTCTAAAGATGACGACACACTGAGTGAGCGAAGCGCAGTATCAGATGGTAAGAACTGAGCTTTACACGTCTGTTATTCTCAGCTAATTATATCTAGTCCCTCACTAGTTAAATCAGGGCCTGTGTTAGAGCATGAATTACAAAACGTTGCAGAGTATTTAGGACTGAACGTCTGTAATGTTTATTGTTTGTCTGTAGCATTTTCTAAAATCTTTGCATTCCCCTATAGATTTCAAATTAAATGTCATGACGTTGGATGACCTGGCCCCAGTTACCCTTGGTACAGCTGAGTTATCAAAAGAAAAGGTGGACAGTTTTCTAAAAATGGTATGTATTTATGAATTATTAAGAACGATTTACAAACTTTAATTCCAAAGAACTTCAGACAGTATGTGAAATACATAAAATCACTTTATTTTTTAATTCACCTTTATTTAAACAAAAGTAAGACAAGATACACCGACCAGGCATAACATTATGACCACCTACTTGTTTCTGCGCTCACTGTCCATTTTATCAGCTCCACTTATTATAGGTGCACTTTGTAGTTCTACAGTTACAGACTGTAGTCCATCTGTTTCTCTGCATACTTTGTTAGCCCCCTTTTACCCTGTTCTTCAGTGATCAGGACCCCCATGGACCCTCACAGAGCAGGTACTATTTGGGTGGTGGATCATTCTCAGCACTGCAATAACACTGACGTGGTGGTGGTGTGTTAGTGTGTGTTGTGCTGGTCTGAGTGGATCAGACACAGCAGTGCTGCTGGAGTTTTTAAACACAGTGTCACTGCTGGACTGAATAGTCCACCAACCAAAATTATCCAGCCAACAGCGTCCTGTGGGCAGCATCCTGTGACCACTGATGAAGGACTAGAGGATGACCAACACAAACTGTGCAGCAGCAGATGAGCTATCGTCTCTGACTTTACATCTACAAGGCGGACTGACAAGGTAGGAGTGTCTAATAGAGTGGACAGTGAGTGGACACAGTGTTCAAAAACTCCAGTAGCACTGCTGTGTCTGATCCACTCAGACCAGCGCAACACACACTAACACACCCCCACCACGTCAGTGTTACTGCAGTGCTGAGAATGACCCACCACCCAAATAGTACCTGCTCTGTGAGGGTCCATGGGGGTCCTGATCACTGAAGAACAGGGTAAAAGGGGGCTAACAAAGTACACAGAGAAACAGATGGACTACAGTCTGTAACTGTAGAACTACAAAGTGCACCTATATAGTAAGTGGAGCTGATAAAATGGACAATGAGTGTAGAAAAAAGGAGGTGGTCATAATGTTATGTCTGATCTGTGTATATGCTTGTGTTTATACAGACTGAAGAAAGTCCCTCTGGATTTAGAGAGCTCAGCATTTCCTCGGCCAACGAAATCTCGCATAAAGACAGGCGCAAACCTGAAGAGGCTCCAGCAGAGTATGAGAGTGACTTTGAGAGTGAGATCCAGACTGACACAGCTCTGAGTGCTAATGAGATTTCTGAGCATTTCTCAGCTGGAGATAAACATTCCTCCATAGCTACTGAGGCTCAGTCTCGCTCAGGCGATTTGCACTCTGATGATGACCTCACTCTCACAGAAGAGCCGTCGAAGTCAACAAGCGCCCGTTATCGTAGGTCTGGGTCTTCTTTAAGCCGCAGCAGAAGCTCTTGCTCAAGTTCTGACTCAAGCGATGCTACCATTACTCAAAGTGAGCCACGGAGGCTGAGCACCAGACGGCCTGTGAAGGACGCTACGGTGCAGACGCAAAGAGATGGACTGACCTACACATGGTCCACTGGTGGGTCTTTAATTGTTCTGCTTTAGTTGACTTATGCTAATAATAGAAATAGTATTTATAATACACTGAGATGCCAGTTTACTGCTTTTTGCCTACACTTGTTGGCCATTTTATCAGAAACTCCTGCCATACAGGTTCACTTTGTAGGTGTACAGTTACAGACTGAAGCCCTCTACCCTGTCCGTCAGTGGAAAAGGAGCAAAACTGACCAGATATTATTTTAGGTGGCCCATTCTCAGCGCAGCAGTGACACCAATGTAGTATTTCCACATTAGTCAGGGCCACTGATATAGGTCTGTCAGATGCAGTGTGCAGTAAGTGGTCCAAGTGGTCTAACAAACTGGCAACTCTGTGTATTTCACTAGACATTTCACACAGCTCAGTGCAATATAAGCACAGTCAAGACTGGACTGTAAGTGAAAAGTGGACCATGATTGTTCCTCCTGTAGGGCAAGCTGTACTGGGTCCGTCAGTAGGGATGTCCTATGTGGATCCAACTCCTGTGGCTAGCCACACAATCAGCGCAGAGGCAGTGGAAGGTAAGAAAGCCTAAACTACTTTATATTTATTAAAGTAATCCTTCAACATTTTTAGATGCAAAACGCCTCATGGTCATTGTAATTTAGACTGTGTTCACAAGACATTTTCATATCCATCAAAAAGAATGCCTCAGTGGTCTGTTTTGGGTGTGTTTATGGGTGGAGACAGATGTGACCAGGACACTCATTTATACATAAAAGCTTATAAGTGAAAACTTTAATCCTACAAAGTGATCTTTGAATGTTAATGGTTCTATATAGAACTATTTTCTTTTCTAAAGAACCCTTGAAGAACCATCTTTTTAAGAGGGTAGTACAGCAGGTTTTTCTGTCAGATGCCACTAATCATTGACGTTACTTCTGCTTTATGTGATAAGACTGTAAGGCACTGTTAGAAGTTGTGAGCATTCTAACCAGGTCAGTTACAGCTTTGGAAGAATGTGGCTGTTTTATTCATTTAAATTCAGCAGTCATCACTGTGGTACTTCCCAAGCTGAAGGCTGAACATCTGTGTCCTCGCGTCCCACAGCGCTATCTGCATACAGCCCTGCTGTGTTTGCTCTGAATGACATGCTGAGACAGCAGCTAGCACTGACCAGGAGCTTCATTGAGTCCAGCAGACATCTGCACCAGGCTATGGTGGAGTCCCTGGGGCCTGCTGACTATAGATACACCACACTGGAGGAAGCCAAAGAGGTAAAAAAAAAAGAATCTTTTTGGAAACACTGGGGTGCCTCTTTTTGCTTTTCTGAATTATAGTACCTTTTTTTTGTTCTTCCGAGTGTAATCTGTAATAGACGATAAATGTTTCAGTTTCAGTAGTACATCTATAAAGAGACCTTTATCTATATACAATCAGGCATAATATTATGACCACCTCCTTGTTTCTATGCTCAATGTCCATTTTATCAGCTCCACTTACTATATAGGTGCACTTTGTAGTTCTACAGTTACAGACTGTAGTCCATCTGTTTCTCTGATACTTTGTTAGCCCCCTTTTACCCTGTTCTCCAGTGGTCAGGACCCCCATGGACCCTCACAGAGCAGGTACTATTTGGGTGGTGGATCATTCTCAGCACTGCAGTAACACTGATGTGGTGGTGGTGTATTAGTGTGTGTTGTGCTGGTCTGAGTGAATCAGACACAGCAGTGCTGCTGGAGTTTTTAAACACCTCAGTGTCACTGCTGGACTGAGAATCGTCCACCAACCAAAAATATCCCGCCAACAGCGTCCTGTGACCACTGACGAAGCACTAGAGGATGACCAACACAAACTGTGCAGCAGCAGATGAGCTATCGTCTGACTTTACATCTACAAGATGGACTGACAAGGTAGGAGTGTCTAATAGAGTGGACAGTGAGTGGACACAGTGTTTAAAAACTCCAGCAGCACTGCTGTGTCTGATCCACTCGTACCAGCACAACACACACTAACACACCACCACCACATCAGTGTTACTGCAGTGCTGAGAATGATCCACCACCCAAATAGTACCTGCTCTGTGAGGGTCCATGGGGGTCCTGACCACTGAAGAACAGGGTAAAAGGGGGCTAACAAAGTATGCAGAGAAACAGATGGACTACAGTCTGTAACTGTAGATCTACAAAGTGCACCTATATAGTAAGTGGAGCTGATAAAATGGACAATGAGCGTAGAAACAAGGAGGTGGTCATAATGTTATGCCTGATCGGTGTAAATCATCACTGTCATATTAAAACTGTTGTCTTGTTAAGCTTGTGTTTTATTTTTTTTTAATGAAAGCTTTTTTTCATGTAAATATTTTGTGATAAATGGATATTATATTATATTCCAAAATAAAATAAAATCATTTAACATTCTTTTTCCTGTAAAGTTATTATTTCAGAGACACACGGTTTTGTTCTGACAGTGAGGATGTGCAGAACATGCAGCAGACATTTAATACTCTAAAAGTTATTTCTAGGGATGGACTGATGCCTCTTTTTCCCTTCCAATACAGATACCGATCCTAACACTAACATAACGACTCAATAGGTGCCTATAAATCCTTTTCAACCTGTTATAAATTTTATTTTGGTATAAACATTGTTCTGTCTCACAAATAAAACATATTAAGCGTGACTGAATTGCATTCGCTGGTCAGATAATGTCACATTTTAATGGTTTTGTAGCAAAAACTTGCTTCAGTTACGGATCTACTGACGCACATCAGAAAATTGCTTAAATGGTATCAGTATTCTCTACTGCCAATACTGATGCTGTTTTTAAGTGCCAGTATGTTGCAAAGATACCAGTGTGGTATTAGTGCAACATCAAAAAACAAATTGACATTAGGTTCATCATTTATGTTAATATTAAAGCTGCACCATGTAGAATTTAGTTATAATTCAAATAATTAGCGTTAGTGAATCAGGAGAATAAAAACAGGCTAAAATATGGTGAGTGTGCGCTGCTTTGAGTCGCCCTCTAAAGCCTAAAATAATCACACCATGTATGTCTTTAAGTCACACACACAGACTCAAAAAGAAGGTCTGGCTTGATGTTTAGGTCTCAAATGCAAAATCAGCTTATACTTTACAAAATGTTCTGCATGTTGTGTGCAATTACACATTTCCACCAGAGAGGTCTCCAAATCCACAAAGCTAGTGTACTTTTCATATAATTGTCTTGGTGTTACAATATTGGTTTCCTCAACTAAGCCTTTCTTTCTCAGTTCATCCGCTGTAACAGATCACCCAAGCTGACCATGAAGGACGCTTTGGAAGAGGTTTTGCAGGAGATGAGGGAATATCACTACATATGAAGTACACAGATACACAATCATGGGAACAAGCTGTATAAGCAGCCTCTTTTTGGCATATGGGATACATACATCACCCTTGATCCCATGTGATGCAAACTAATGGTGTTTTGTACTCCAGTTTCTAGTTGCAGGTCATATCACTGCTGTCGGAAGAAAACCTCGTATCTCCATTTTTGGTGTTTTTCAGTTTTTGATAATTTGAAAATGTCTGTTACCCTTTACTTTGTTTGTCCAAAGAAATGGACCAAAATGACTTGGAAAAGACTTTGGTTCCATTGACTTACATTAAAAGTAGTTTTTTTTTCTTCTCCTATAAAGTTACCATTTTGGAGATACAAGGTTTTCTTCCAACAACAGTGATATGCAATACGTCACATACGCAATTTTGTAAAAGAAATGCAGTACCTTATGTGAACTGGAGGCAGCTGGAGTGGAACATTCTTGGGATTTTATGTATTTGTAAATCTGTGATTAAGATATTTTTGTAAGCTTACCACTGTGCATTGAAATGAAATATACATTAAAAACGTTTTACATTAAATGTGTTTTTACTGCACTGTGACTGTGTAATAAGTCATTTATGGTGCTTACAGTTCCCTTGCAAAAAGAATTTTAACTAAGACTCACTTATAACGGATAAATAATAGGTTTTAACAGTTCTATACAGACAAACAGCATCATTACATGTTTAAAATGCCTTTATTTCCTTGTGCTGAGTATTAAATCTAGGCTAAATTTAACTGACTGCAAGGACTTTTCATGTTCAAACTACAACATGACTTGACATTTTGATTTATTACAATTAAAGAAACCAAACAGAATAACCATTTTCAGAACAGAAAGTGAAAGACATCTATGCAGGGGCTTTTCAGGTCTAAAAAAAAAAACAATGTTAGGAAGAATCACTCTGTAGTTGGGGCCTCCTGTGGATCCCGGCTCACTGGAAACAAAGGAGACAAATAGGTGAGATGAATTCTGAATGAAAGTTGCTTGCATTAATGTTTCTAGTGAGTGAACATTTACAAGCACTGATTAAGCAGAGTTTTTTCAATAATAAATCATAGTCTGATATTACAGAATAGACAATGGAGTAAGAACTGATCTAAAAGTGTCAGTGGACCATGATGTAACTTGATTTCTTCCTATTGATAATAAGCATTATTTTATAGTGAATGCCCTTATTACTCTAATACTTAATGGTTAACTGCGTATCCACCACTGTGAGAAGCTGAGTGGGAACGCTACCTTTCTCTCTGGCTTTCATCCGTGCGACAAAATTGTAGCTTTTGTTTCTCCGGTAGTTCACATATGGGTCATCCAGTGATACTCCCACACCCTTGTACTGGTCCCACTTGTCTCGCACATCACCCCCCTTGATGGGATCCTGAATGCCCTGCTCTTTCGCACCGAGTCCTCCAGAGCCGCTCCATCCTGCACACAGTTAACTACAGTTCACGGAAAAGCACAAACTCCATTCTGCACTCAACATACAGGTCATACAGAGATCACAGAGCCACACAGACAGAGGGCTGCACAATGTATAGTTTGTTAATCGTATCACAATGTTGGCCTTTGCAATACAGCTACTGCAAAACGCTTCAGCATGCAAAAGAGCCATCTAATCAGTCATTAGTCTCGCAGGGCCAGACGTGATTTCGTAATGTGAACATAGACAAGGCAAGTTTATTTATATAGCGCCTTTCATACACTGCTGTCATTCAAAGTGCTTTACAAATGAGAAAAAACAGTTGTTTAAAAAAGGTAAACGAGAATAGAAATTAAAAGCATGATCAAAACAACAGATATAAAAAAAATAATTAAAAATCAAGTTAGAAATTAAATTAGGATGGTTAAAACATCAAATTAAAAATGTACAAAAAATTAAAAGATTAGGATTTTAAAAAGTGCTGTAACAGAGGAAAAGGGGCTAGAAACATTAACAGTGTTTTAAATTTGACCAGGGGTGCGCAAACTTTTGCATACAATTGTACATTCTCTATCCTATAGGTATTTAATTACAGTTCAATAAGGTCCAGTTAAAGAAAATTTCCTCAAGCAAAGATCCAGAACATCATAATGTCTAACTTGCATTATGATTCAGGGCCATATACTGTTTACTGAAGTAGCCTAGTAATTATATCAACATCTTGTACAGTCAACAACTGAATGTCAAATCAAATAAAGTACAATTCAGTCATATTTCAACAACATTTATTGTCAGTTTTCTCTTTTTAAGAGCACGCTCGCCTCGTCCCTCCCCTGTGTGCGCTTCTCACTGGAGTCTCAGTGCTCAATGTAATGCACAGATCTTATTGGCTGAGTAGTGCCACGTGTGACATTCACAACACATGCGACTGGTCATGCGATTATCCATAGTTTATCGGTTATAGGTCCAGGTCCACATAGGACAGCGTCCGGGTCCGGACTCGGACTGCGGTCCGCCTATTAGTGACCTCCGCTCTATCCTGTTCATAGAAAGCTAGAGATCCAATGCACACACAATTTGCTGAATCACTTACCCATCTTCATCAGCATCTGATGGCCCTTGTTTTCTTCTCCCAACCTCATTTCAGCAGGCAGAGCTGAGGGCCCTGACCCCAGTCCAGAAGTGGAGCTGCAGACAAACAGAACTTATAACCTTTAGCACGTCTCTTAAACTTGGCTGCGTATGTAAGTAGGTGAACACGGTGCAAACTTACGGTGGTGTGGGACTGCTGGACTTTGCAGCATGTCGCCTCCGGTCAGGTGAACGTGACCTAGAGCGTGATCTGGAGCGGGAGCGGCTTCTGGACCTTGATCTGGAGTGGCTCCTGCTCCTGAAAGCAGGAATGGGGAAAAAAAAAAAAAAAGTAAAAAATCCAGTCCAAACTTACATCGCTGAAGATATTCTGATTCTGATTTACTGGGCTGTGATTCATCACAGTTTTGTCTGTTCAGAACAAATATTAGTATAATCCTTCTGTAGAGTCGATACTGTTAGTGGTAAAAGGGTATTTTAATCAATTATCTGCCCAAAACACAATATAACTGTGTTGTAACAGGACAAATATTAATGTACATCCCTGAAATTAGAAATGTTTCTTAATGGAAACCAGTCTAGCATTAGTGCAAATGGGAGTGGTGCAATGGTACCTGGAGTGAGATCTGGAGTAGGAGCGGGACCGAGATCGTGACCTGGACGACCTGGAACGTGAGGATTTGGAGGATCTGGAGCTGGAACGGGACGATGACCTGCCGCGGCTGCGGGAACGGCTTCGAGAGCGACTTCCTCGTGTGCTGTGATGAATCAGATACACAAGTAAAACATGTTTAATATTCAGCTTTTAAGCTGTCATTGCTGGAACAAAACCTCCTATTTCCAAGAAAGTAACTTCAGGAGAAGGAAAACACACTTAACTTTACTAATGTAATTTAATGTACGTTTTTTTTTTCCCCCAAAAATAATTTTTAATTATTTCTATTGGTCCATTCATCATGAAAAAATGCATAATGTAAAGCTGACCTTTTTAAATTATGTAAAAAAAAGAACAAGGTTTTCTAAAAAAAAAAACAAAAACAAACAAAAAAAAACTTAATTGCAGTGGTGAAAAAAAATGGTGCCTGAAAAAAGGTGGAATGTCTCCATTTCAAAGACTAATAAAGAATTATGAGTTGAGAAAGGTTGGTTACAATATAAAGTAACAATAAGAAACGAAATAAAGAAACAAATATTAACAAATCAACATTACTGATCTTCACTATTCTCTATTCTGACTCCTACAGGACGTTTGGCATGTTTAAATATGAATCTAGCTTTTTAAATCCTCCAAAGCTTTTTTCTCCTGCTCTGATAAAAGCACACAAAAAGAAGCCTTAAAGAAAAATCAGTGACCCAAGTCAAAGTACTCTGCACAGCAAGCACCGTACACACCCACCTGTTGCGTTTCTCTTCCTCCTTTCTCCTCCTTGCCCTCATTTTGGCTCTGAAGAACTCGTACAGGCCGTTCTGTTCCCAGCCCTCACTGAAAATCAATAAATTGCACTTTCAAGCTGCAAGTCTTGCGATAAGGAATATCTGACAATTTGTTTGACAAATTGTGTCAGAGCTGAACATAAAAAGCTGGTCATAAATACATAAAAATCCTGACACAAAGATCATTTAATGACAGTTTAAGATGCAGATTAAATGCAATCTTTTTTTTTTACACAAATGCTCCATCTTTTGATATGGTGTGCTTCTCGTCTGGTTTAGAAGCTCCTTAAAACCTTGGTTAGAAGACCAATTAAGTGACCCTTATTAGTCCCACAACAGGGAAATTTCACCTCTGCATTTTAACCCATCCATGCAGTGAAACACCACAAACACACTAGTGAGTACACACACACACTAGGGGGCAGTCAGCACACCGGAGTGGTGGGCAGCTCTATCCGCAGTGCCCGGGGAGCAGTTGGGGTCTAGGTGCCTTGCTCAAGGGCACTTCAGTCACGTACTGTCGGCTCAGGGGATCGAACCGGCGACCTTCCGGTCACAGGGCTGGTTCCCCAACCTCCAGCTCATGACTGCCCCATTAATTACATTAATGTTAAAACTTGCAGAGTCTCAAATGGCTCCCTACTCCTTATACAATGCACTATGTAAGTTATAAAACTCTAGCTTCTACAACCCAATAGTGCACCATTTGTCCAGTATTGAATTGTAGACACACGTCTGAACCCAAAATGGCTATTTGTTAGACATATTGTGCACTGTTTAAGTGCAAGAGCCCATATTTTAATATCTTCATAGTGCACTACGTAGGGAGCCATTTGAGATTCAGCCATTGTTAAGAGCAGGGTTTAACCATATGGAGCAACAAAACTCCACTGCGTGAAAATATGTGCATGAGTATGTGTGAAGGTGACCTGTTTCTGGGTCGGTCATGTGAAGGAGGACTGTAGAAAGCCTCCACAGCGGCCAGTAGACGATCACTGGGGGGCATGGGGGGAGGCAGTCGGATGTCTTTGGGGTCTAGAGGTTTGTAGTCATGATCTTCCAGCTAAATAAAAAGCAAAGAACATGACAGGTTAAATGCAAATGTAAACGAAGAGTAAAAAAATGTGAAAAAAGACATATTTCCATTCCTAAAGAATGAAAAACAAATGAAATCACTCTGAGGTCAGAGGTTTCCACCCCTACCAACATTCATTCAGAACATTTGGTGCCCAAACTGCACAACTGGATGAAAAACCTCCCTTATCTAAGTTTACTGAAGTTATTACTGATTTGACCACGTTTAGCTTTAGTGAAGACTTTTTTTTCAGACTAGGAAGTCTAAAAACTTACTTTAACCAGAGGAGCCATGAGGCCTGCTGGCAGGTCGAAGTATGGGACGTTGGGGACCAGACTGGGGTCATCCTGGGTCACATGAGATGGGGTCTGGCGCCTCATATGAGGGGACTGACCGTTAAAGCCGTGGGGTTGGGGTCCAAAGTCAGGGTGCTGGTTGCTACCCCATGGAGGATGTTCAGCTATTCCTGGTGGAGGAATTCTCTGGTTTGGATGGTGGTGGGGTGGGCCCATTTCTAAGAGAGGGACATACAACAATTATCAGGCTTCAGACACTTCAGAGGAAAGAAAATTATGCATTTGAACAGAACTGATTCCACAAAGCTCTCTCTCAGTAAGAGCAGACATCACACCACTGTATTGTATGTTTCTAATTTAGTCTGCATGCATTTTCTGTAGTACTGCCTTCGTCTCCTCTGCAGACCAGTTTCTGCTCCGCCATGTTGAACGGTATAAACTTTCACTATGACGCGACGAACATGATCAGAACGTACTTAAACTTTCCGACTGGGAATGTAATCAGATACAGGCGTTTACACGGATATTATTCTTCTATTTAACGGATTATTTACAGGATTACCCACCTCGATCAATCGGATAGAAACTGTATTCCGAATGTCCTCAATCGGACTAGTCTATTCCGATTGAGGTGTATACATGGACGTATTGTATTCTGATTGAGCTATTAGTCAGATTATTAATGGATTATTAGGCTGCATGTAAACGTGGCTAATGAAACTGAACAAATAAGTATGAGCTACTGTGTAACCGAAAACTAATTCCTTATATGTGCACCAACAAAGCCTGATTCTGATTTAGTAAATCACATCCTCACCTCCAGGAAAGTCTCCCTGTGGGTAATCGAAGCGATGCGGTGGGTACGGTGGGCGCTCAAAGTGGTGCCGCGGTGGGAAGTCATCCTGCATGAAGCGTGGCGGGAAGCGGTTGAAGTTGTGGGGTGGTGGGGGCTGGTTGAAGGGGGGCGGCTGCTGGTGGGGTGGGAAGGGTCCTCGGAAGTGCGGCGGCCGCTGCATGCGGAAAGGAGGCTCCCTCTGGCTCCACGGGGGCTGATCTGGCTGATTGCTCCAGGGTGGTTGGTCGAACTGCCCGCTCCAGGAGGGTGGGGGTTCGTTCTGTCCGCCCCAGGGACCACCGGGTCCGCCGGGACCTCCAGGAGGGCCTCCGGGTCCTCCTGGGCCTCCTGGGCCACCTGGACCCCCTGGGCCACCTGGACCTCCCTCTCGGGGACCGCTCCAGCTGGGATCCCTCTGCTCATTCCACATCCCCTCGTGACTGTTCCAGGGTGGGCAAGGAGGGGGTGCTTGAGTGGGATCGAATGGTGGCTGAGGGAGAAACAGTGGGGTTAGGGGTGCATGTGGAAACTAACAATTGAAGCACAAACTAAAAATGATTGAAAAGGGTATGCCTTTTTTATACTGATGTATTAGACTTTTTTAAATTACTGGTGTATGTGCTATATAAATATGATGTGCTATATAAATATAGCAAAGTATTAAACTATTATTATTATAAAAAGGGTACTTTTACTTTATTAAAAATAATACAAAAAAAATTAGGTGTTAGACACATATGAACTCAATATTTTCCAGAACACACACACACACACACACACACATATATATATATTTTGAATATGGCTTAACAGTTTCTTTATATCCATTTCAACTCAATAAAACAACATACATGCACACATATCATGCAGATAATCACTTTATACTGCCTGCTAAATGCAGACTTTGTCTTATTTAACCTTGGACTGATTTATTAAAAATGTCTCAGTTTCAGGGAAACTTTTTGTTAAAAGTTATGAACTTTTGAAAAGTTTTGACAAAACTGAACTTGTCAGTTCTATTCTTTGAAAAGAAAACTGCATTTTATGCAGGTCTCAGTACATGACCGCTGCATCTTTTCCTTGAATGTGTTGTTTGTTACTGCTAGGACATTAGACTGTAATTGAAAATGACACTCACTGGTTGCTGTGGGTTCCAGGGTGGCATGCTGTGCTGAGGGTCGAACCAGCCGGGCTTGGTGGACTGAATGTCAGGATTAGAAGGATTAGAGTCCGGTGGCCTCGTCTGAGCACCTTCATAATCACCTGGAGGAGGGCCAGCCATCGGAGGCTTCACCTCTGCTGAGAACATATCGAGACACACATTGTAAGTCACATTCTGGTAAAAAACGCTGCAATGCAAATCAAATTAAAAACTAACAAGCATGCAAAAACATTATAAGCCAAAGAAGTGATTTAGTAAACATAATCTCCATTCATATTTATGCATAAAGCAGGTTTTCTTTTACAAATCAGCTTAAACGTGCAGACAGTGGGTAGCATAGCGACAGAAGTTATGCAGACCCTGCAAATCTTCATAGCTGCTGTGTTCCTCTGAGGCTCCACTTATGCTGTAACAGGTTCTACTCACCAGACTGAGAAGTCAGCGGCGGCTGGGTCACTTTAACTTCGGCCTCTGGCGGAGCTAACTGGCCGACGGCGGCCGCTGCGGCTGCTGCAGCGACGCTCTGCTGCTGCTTCAGGTTGGACACAAACTCCTCGTGCTGCGTCTTCAGTGCCTGGATCTGCTGCTGGAAGGCCAGCTGCACAGGCTGCACCACCCCGGCATATTCTGTGATCAGAGATGCCTAAACAGTCCAGAGACACAACTTTAGTTAAAAACAGGAACTTTCCTGTGGCCTTCAACAGTTCGGCACACCTTATACAATAAAACAGACAACTGTACAAAAATACACGAACGCACAAACGTACAAATATATTAATACTCATGAATAAAAAAGTACAGGTTGCTAGGTCACACTTCGCTGCTATTAAAAGATTTTACTTCCCCCTGAGTGCTGTTAAGTCTACTAATTGCAGGAATAGAAATTAATAATGATACTAACAGCCATTATTACTATTTTAAAGCCACAAAAAATATGAATATTAACAAATGTTATTGCAAACACATACTAGCACTGTTGTGACTGTCTTATTGCCAAAGTGACCCCATTATGACAGGATGAAATAAGCTGGGACAATAGTAAGAATTCTTATAGATAACTGTACCTGATACTGTCCCAGGCCAAGAGCAGGACTCTGGAGTTGCTGAATGGTGACATCATCAAAGTAGCCATTCTTCTCCCACAGCTGGAGCAACTGGAAACAAAAACAAGTGTTAAAATGGGTGAAAAAGGCTCAACAATGTCAAAGGTGAACAATGTCAACATGCATTCTGTTCTTCAACAATGTTGAAGTGTAAATCTCGGGTTGATTTGAATACACTTCTTAATGAAAAACCTTGAATGCATCAAGAAACCTCAGATTTTATGATTCAATTATTTTGGTAAGATACAGAGTTATTAAATATGCACAAATGTGGCTGAAGGAACTACGAATGCGGAATACGGAAAGATCTATGATACAGGATTGACATTATATAATTGCAAAACATTATTAAAATGGAAAATTCAAAAATTATATGTTACAAAATTATAAAATTCAAAAGTTATATGACCACCTTCAGATGTGTCTTAACACCCCTATAAAGATATGTGAATTAATTAGTGTCATTGAAACATGTATATTTTTTTCTTCTCATGTGGTAATGTGTCTGTAGTTTTGGGGACATTTTAAAAAAAAGGTACCCGTGTAATTTTCTGCTGCTTGTCTTCTTCCACAGCCAAAAAGCTGGTGCAATAGATTGGCACCACTACCTTCTGCAGAGCGGCCAGCAAATCCCTCTGGTTCTTCCTCTGGCTACAAAAACAGAAGATCTCAAGTGAATTCAATACTACTGACCTCTCAGAAAACACAGTAAAAGTTCACAGTAGAGGGCTACAGGATAAAAACAATAACTGTGGGTTTTCTAAATGAGGCATAATTCTGACAAAAATTATACAGGGAGATTCACTCGAAAGAGGCCCCGAATATTCTGCAATAACTCTCTCTAGGACGAAGCAATCTGAACGAAACAATGTGCTCCTCAGTATATGGAGCTTCGAACAAGCCGGGATGCCCCTGCATCAGAGCGATGAGGTAGGCACTACACAGCCGTCGCAACGTTTAACCTGTTTGCAACGTCCGGGTGCAGACCCCCGTACCCCTTCACTCAGTCACTCGACTTCTCATCAGGATGTTGTTCAGTATACAGTTTGCAAGGAGCATGGCAGAAATTGATTCCTTCTTCGGCAACAGGGTAATTTCAAAGGGGCTTTGGCCACCGCGGTCGCCAGATCGGACGCTACCAGACTTCTTCTTTTGGGGTTTGCTCAAAGGAAAAGTCTTTCAGAACACGCCTCGCGCTGTGGAAGATTTGAAGGAAAACATCCAACGTGAAATTGCTGCTATTCCTCCCAATATACTTGCCAATACGTTCAGGAGCATGGAGCACTGCGTCGAAATGTGTTTGTCAGAAAACGGAGATCACTTCCAGGATTGCATGTAATACAATCGATTACACATACGTCAAGGTATGTAGCGTATTTCTTTGGTTCAGATTGCTTCATCCTAACAAGAGTTACAACAGAATATTCGGGGCCTCTTTCGAGTGAATCTCCCTGTGGCTTGGCTGACAGGATATGAAAATTAGAAGAGTGAGGCATCTAGTGCATTTTTCCTCTTTTGGCCAAAAACCAAGCCTCATTTGTGGCCATTTCCAGCTCAAATGTTTTGGTGGCCAAAATGTTATTTGCTTTTCTTTCTATAATGTAATACGTTTTATTATTTTCAGTACCAGTGGTGCAGGACATCATTCATGAGATAGATGAGGTGTAGGCGGAGCTCGAAGTGTGCTGTCTCTGCTGTGATGCGGTTGCGCAGATGTGAGGTCATCAGCTCGCAGTGCTGCGGGGTTTTAGCGTTGTTGAACATCCAGTTCTTTCCAGCCTGGGACAATAATAAAAGCAAATCACTCAAATTAAACTCTATCCTGCAAACAAGTTCCTTTCCCACTCACTGAACATCACTGAAGCTCTTTTGCCACATACCGAAATGGCATCCTTGGTGCAGGTGTCGATAATTGGCTGCAGAAGGCCATCGAACTCAGTCATGTCCAGCTGTGTTTCCACTAGCAGTTTCTGGGTCTGCTGCTCCATAGCCAGCGCGATGGCTGCGGTCACCTGCTCCTGGAGGACACAAAGAAAATCATCCCTGTTAGAAACACGGAAATCTTTGCATAAAACATGTTAAGCATCCTAATCAGAACTATATACTTCACCACATGCTCAAACTAGGGCTATACAATAATTCACAATTACACAAAAATAACAAAAGAAACCGTATTTTCATTGTTCATCACAATATTGGTCTTTGCAATACTGACAAAGAGAATATCAATATTTAAATGAGATCAGTTTTTTTCCACAATATTTTTACTGTGTGATGTGAGCTTCTTGACCAATCACAGTATCAGATGCGCATAGTTCTAGACGATTTGCGGAAAATACCTAGATGTGATTTTTCTATCCAGTATTGCAATTTAAATTTGATTATTATTGATCTATAAATTAACCTCTCTGCCTTTTTCTTGCCAAAAAGACCAGCTTTTTTGTAGAATTTAGACTTGAAACTTTAGACAACACTGAATAATGTAAGATACAATTAAAGAACCCATATCCTATGCATTCCTTCCCTTGCCGAGACCCTCTTTTGACGTTGCACGATTTTATTAACCAAAAACAACAGTAATTTATTTTTACATTAACTTATTACAACCTCTCTTTATCCCCTAGAATTAAACAGGCTGGTTCTGTTGCTGTGCTTTTCAGACTAATATTTGTTCTGTATTGTGCTTCATTCAAAAAGCTGTCTGGGCTGAAACACTCCTTATAACTTCAGCGTGAACAGGTGGTGCCCATGACCATCGCTACCTGTCTGAGACTATTCAGGTGCTGCTCCTGCTGCTGGAGATTCCACTGGCTCTGCTGAATGAGCTCCTCCACTGAAGGTGTGGTGGGAGGGATCGGTGGAGGGGCCAGCATAGACATCGGGGGAGGAACATCACTGACCTCTTTACCCGGAGGTTTGCAAAGCACTGCAATACAAAATATGATTACTAATTAGTGCTATGGTATATATGTATATGTATACACTGATCAGGCACAACATTATGATCACCTCCTTGTTTCTACGCTCATTGACGTGGTGGGGGTGTGTTAGTGTGTGTTGTGCTGGTACGAGTGGATCAGACACAGCAGTGCTGCTGGAGTTTTGAAACACTATGTCCATTCACTGTCCACTCTATTAGACACTCCTACCTCGTCAGTCCACCTTGTTGATGTAAAGTCAGAGACGATAGCTCATCTGCTGCTGCACAGTTTCTGTTGGTCATCCTCTAGTCCTTCATCAGTGGACACAGGACGCTGCCCACAGGACGCTGTTGGCTGGGTATTTTTGGTTGGTGGACTATTCTCAGTCCAGCAGTGACACTGAGGTGTTTAAAAACTCCAGCAGCACTGTTGTGTCTGATCCACTCAGACCAGCGCAACACACACTAACACACCACCACCACATCAGTGTTACTGCAGTGCTGAGAATGATCCACCACCCAAATAGTACCTGCTCTGTGAGGGTCCGTGGGGGTCCTGACCACTGAAGAACAGGGTAAAAGGGGGCTAACAAAGTATGCAGAGAAACAGATGGACTACAGTCTGTAACTGTAGAACTACAAAGTGCACCTATATAGTAAGTGGAGCTGATAAAATGGACAATGAGCGTAGAAACAAGGAGGTGGTCATAACGTTACGCCTGATCGGTGTATATACATATATGCATAAACCATCCAGTCACAAAAGAAATCATAACACCTTCAGCTAAAAGGCCAATAAAGCTATGGATCAGTATAAATATACACATTCTGATGAAAGAACCAAGGGAAACATCCAAAATCATAAACTGGAAAGAACAACCGTAAGAAGGAAAATGACTTTGTTGAATGGACATTCTCAAAGCAAAGCCATTCAGTCGGGATATTAACAGCACTCAGACATGCATCGGTGTTCACTCATGCTGGTTTGTTTGCCCTGTTTTTCACCGTGTGCAAAAATACCCATGAAAAACTAGAACAAACTCTTCCGGGGGAGAAAAAAGAAAAGTCAGCTGTGGAACGCATGGGGCTGTACTGGAGTCATACAACTAATAAAAAATAAAACAAATCAAACTGAACAACAAGCAAATAACAAGGAACAAACTAAGATGAAATGTCTCCTTTCTGAGCCAACAAGATATGTCAAACGTTTTAGCCAGTTTTGTGTTTAGATGGGAACGAATTTTCCGAACAGGCTGCTTCTGTCACAGGCAGCGGAAGTTCCCTTCCCAAAACCTTAAACAAAACAAAAAATGTCTGACAAAGCTCAGTACAAACGTAAAGAGGAAGCGCCGATAAGCACTGATGATGCAAAAATACTCAAAGACACCAGGCAGGGTGCGAAGTTTATACAGTAAATACCAATTGCTTCTGATCGTCAATCTAGTAAATACCTTCCATTTTATATTCATCATCATGAGTGGGAGGATCTACGAGGAGAGAAGGAGGCCTTAGACACACACAAAGCATAGTTGCATATTTCTGTACTTAGACACTCGACTGGGGGAAAACATGTTGGCACTCACCTTGACAACTATTTCAAAAAAAGTTAAACTTTAACTGATAAAGCTACATTTATGGAAGCCCATTGCGACCAGGAGGCCTGTTTTTCTCTCTGCTTCATTAAATGTTGATTAAATTTTCAATTATTGACTCTAAATATTCAATTAGTATCTTCAAACCGTGACCTAGCATTTCAAAATAATGACTTATTTCTTCAAAGATTTGACTTATTACCCCCAAACGACTTATTTCCTCAAAACATTCAATTAGGATCGCAAAATAAAAACTTATTTTCTCAAAATCTTAACTTAGTACCTCAAAAGAACTTATTTCCTCAAAAGATTTGATGAGTATTGTAAAATAATGACTTATTTTCTCAAAATGTTGGCTTAGTATCTCAAAATAATGACATTTTCCTCTAAACACTTAATTAGCATCTCAAAATAATTACTTATTTTCTCAAAATCTTGACTTAGTACCTCCAAACGACTTATTTCCTCAAAACATTCAATCAACATCTCAAAAAATAATTACTTATATTCTCAAAATCTTGACTTAGTACCTCAACATATTGACTATTTCAACCATTATTGTCACATAATAAGTCAAAATGTAAAGGAAAAAGGCCTTATTTTGACATAGACATAAAAGAATTAATAATTGTGATACAGTAGATGTCACGAGAAAATAATTCATTATTTTATCAATTTTACTAATTTAATGAAAACAAAAATTCAAACATTTAAGTCACTGTTTCAACACAGTAAGTCATTATACAAAGAAAATAGGTCATTATTTTGAGATGAGTCATAATTATGACATACAGCTGCTAGAAACAAAGACAGAGGTTTTTTTCCTCCTCTACCTGCCGTGAATGGCCTTCCATATACATTAGTACAAGTTACATTAGTAAAACTACCAAACAACACAAAATCAGACATCATAAGCAGCAACAAACCAGCTCACTGTAGAAAAACCTTGCAGGAAACATCCACTAATAGCTTCAGTGTACGTACGCTGTTGCTGCTCGATAGCAAGCTTGTACTTGTAGTATCCAAAGTATTCTCCTCCAAAGAGAAAGGAGAATTTCAGATTGTCCTTCTGTTTCTCCATGGTCATCTTCTCGAACTCGGGCCCATTGCGGGCCACGAACTGCGCCAGTTTGTCGATGACATTGCGAAGCTCTTGGTCTGAAAGGACAAGAAGCATTAGCTAAAAAAAAGATTCAAACTACGGTGAACATGAAAGTCCTTCATCAGCAGCAGATCAAAATAAACAGCATGCAAGAAATTATTCTCAATGATCGTGACTCAGTCTGAATTCAGTGCAATTTCACTGTGGAACTCAATTAGGTCGACTGTGTTAGCTGCCAAGACCTCGGTCTAACAAACTGGTCCCATTCTAAATTCAAGACCAGTTCTGACAGCAACACCATGATTCATTGGATATTTCTACATTTTTGTTATTTTCACCATGTAATATTTTAATGTGCACACTGCTGCGTGTCTGGATGAATACAGAAACCAATCCCACATAAACAAGTAAAACGAACCCAAGCAGCTCTCTCTGCTGATGGGACCGTGGCTTAAAAGACATGAGCTCCACTAAATTTTAGGCAAAAACAGTTTTACTGCAGGAAAATAAATATCCTAGAGCTGGTTTTGCGAATTCCCAAATAAGCCTAAACCTACACAAAAAACTAAACATTACTGACACTGCAAATTAGCCCAAGACTAGGCTTAATCCATGTGCAGGAACCAGCTTTAATGGGAAGACCAGTGCTTAAAAAAAAACACTTCTGCATAATTCAATCACTGAAAGTCATTCAGAGTGGACTAAAGTAAAATGCTTCGTTTTAGAGAAATTTACCAACTCAGATTTCTCTCCAGTGGTGGTGATGGGAACCAGGGGTTGTGATGTCTACTACACATATATAACCATTTTATTTGCTACCTAAAAGACCAATGAGTCAACACGTGAGTTTTTATATGTAATGGTAAAACAGTGTATGTTTTTGGGGACTATTTTGCCTTAAAATGCCTTGCATGTAGCTCTTCACCATGAATGGATTTTAAAAAATATGTATATTTTAGGCCAAAAGCTTACCGTAAAACAGTGTCTCGGGCATCAGGCAACATATTTCTGACCATTTCATGTAATAACTTTATCTGACGTAGCTTTTAGAAGGATTAAATATTGACATCAGCCCACTATGAATGTCTCTGTAAACATCTTAATGACTGAATAATGCAGCAATTTTGAAAAATCGATGGAATTCCCCTTTAAGACCTGGACTACGCCTAGATTTAAACCCTGTCTGGGAAACTGGCCTTAAGCGTTTATCAGCTAAACTGACAACTTTGAATAAACCTACATATTAGACTCAGAACTGGGCACTTCCATTTACTTAGTTACATGTACTCGACACATGTACATTCATGATAATGCTTTTACTTCTTATCTAGTATATTTGTGAGCAAAGAATCTACATTTTATTCAGACAAAAGTGCATCAGAGAGAGAAGAACCGAGCCTAACAAACATCAGTTACTGTGCAGAGAAATGCTGGATATACTAAGAAGTTCCACTGCAATTCTATAAGTTGCACAGTGTCAAAGGGGAACTTGATCAATTTTTCAAAAATTCTACATAGTTAAATGGTTGAGATGTAAAAAACAAAGTCATTCAGAGAGGTTTGGTGTGAAACGCTCAGTTCTAGAGAAACTTACAGAGTAAGAATTGTTCACAGTGGTGGTGATAGGAACCAGACGTCCACCTCTAAAAGCTCCCTCACAGAAAGTTACTACATGAAATGGTTATGAATTCCCTGCATGATGTCTGAGACTTTAGATAGATAGATACATAGATAGACAGATAGATAGATTCAACTTTGTCATTGCATTGTACAAGTACAAGGCAATGAGATGCAGTTAGCCTCTTCCAGAAGCGCAAATAGTAGCAATAGTGCAATAACAGGCATAAATATGACAGGTCTATGAAATATATAACTATATGAACAGTATACACAAACTTATAAATATAACTATGAATCATATATACACTCATAATACTATAAATACAATATATATACACAATATGTTCCGTACTGTTAGAGTAAGCAGTGATGTGTTGTATTCTATATATAGTGAACAGTTTATTTTAGGTTATAGTAGTTTTGTTATAACATTCTGGCCTAAAACATATTTTACTCGATTCATGGTGGAGGGGTACATGAAGGGTGTCCAAATTTTATTTTGTCAAACATTATTTTACCATCATCAACATTTCACATAAAAAATCAGAAGACACATGTAGGTTCACTGGAGGTTCTGGATAGTAAATTAAATACCAATTTTTGTGCTGTACACATTGTGGCCCCTGGTTTCCCATCAACACCACTGTAAAGAAATCCAAGCTGGCAGGTTTCTCTACAATGAATCACTGCACATCAAACCACTCTGAATGTTTACATCTCAACGACTGAATTATACACAAAATTTGATAAATCGGTGGAGCTCCCCTTTACATCATTTTTCGAAAAGGAACTTTTCTTTCTTACTAGATCCACTATTTCACCAAAGTAGCAAGACTTCTGCTTTATTAGTTATGTGTTTAGGCTGCTCTGCCCACCTCTGACAATTAGTTATAACTATTATGCAGCACATTGTGCAGAAACAGAGACCACCGTTGCTATTTCAGTGACGCCCACCAATACAACACCGAGCAAGAGGAGCTGTTTGCATGCTAATAACTTTATGAGAGATGTGGCACAATTTATGGGTCAAATCTGTGGTTTAATAACGAACTTTTGAAGAGAGAAATTCATGACTGAAAGAGAAAAGACAACAACTTCAGCTCTGAGACAGCTGAGCAGTTAGTCAGCTCACTGTCACACTGAGCTAATATTCCACCAGTATTAGTTGAACAGAAAACATCACCGAAGCGTTATTAAACATATAATTTCTATAATATTCGCCTCGTGTGGCCTGTTTTTGTATTTAAAGTAACGCCACACAAACGCGCTCTCGTCTGCAGCTGCTAAGCGGCTAACACGCAGGAGCTATTCAGAATGGGTTAGCTGTTAGCTTAGCTCACTCCATCTACGCTCGGCTCTCACCTTCTGGGGGTGTGGGGATGTCCATGATGCTGAAAACCGAACCTCTGTCCGGCGTGTTAACGTCTGGTAGCGAAAAATAAAAGCTCCTCACAGAGCCGGACAGCAAACATTAAATTCTGTGCAATGTGAAACCATCCCCAGTCGCGGGGCTGACTTCCGGCCGCCTTTGGCTGTATATCCCAAAATAAAAGCTCGACCAATTTTTGTAAAAAGGAGACGAGACACGCAAACAAACATAAAAGCTGTCAAAACAATGAATATATGCACCTTATTTAATTTGTTTTTGTAAAAACAAATTAAATAAAAACATTTTTTCCTTCTTTCTTTCTTTTATTTTGTTTAGACTTTGTTGTTTACATTTGTTACCACATCTTTTGTTTATGCAGTTTGCTATCTGACTTAACTATATCTGTTCTGCTTTGTACTGCTTTTGTACAAACGTAATTATCTAATACATAATAAAAAAATAAAAAATATAACAATATAACAATAAAAAAACATGCAAACTTGCACATTAGGTAAGTTATCAATTAAAATTATTTGTAAAGAATTAAAATAGCAAGCTTGTACTTGTAGTATCCAAAGCATGCCCCTCCGAAGACAAAGGAGAATTTTGGATTATCCTTCTGTTTCTACATGGTCATCGTATTTAATACAAATATGTTATATATGTATATGTATATAATGGATATTTATTTGTAAATTATATAAATATATTTTTTTTGTATTTATACAAATTACATACTATTTGTATATATTATATGTGTTTGTGTGTGTGTGAATTATTTGGAATATACCTGTCTATATAATCTATAAGAATTGTCTGAATTATTATTATTAGTAGTAGTAGTAGTATTGAGGTATATGGTTATTAAATTGTAGAGGGGGGTGGGGTAAAATATTGAAGGAATAGAATTACTCAAAAAAATATAAAATCGCATTGCATAGCAAGCAGGATCCTTCAGGTGGTTGGCCTTAACATTGCAATGGGAAACAACATTGAGTATGACCAACAAATTGTAATTGTGTGTCTTGGGAAATAACTAATGATAACCCCTCAAAAGCCTCACCGGGGCAATTGTACTATCTATATAAAATCAAGATTTTTTTTGTACGGACACTGTATTGATACTTTATAACCGTAGATATTCAGAATACCCATTTAATTATATTCTTATTTTTAAACTAATCCCAAATACATCTAACCTTACTGGGCCTTTAATTTGTAGATCCGTCTGCAATGGTCCCAAGATCTTCCGTTCACGCCAGCTGGTGGCGACATGCAGCATCATTTTTCAAAGAGGAAAAACAAAGCGGACTGAAGTGGATCAGCGGCGGAGTGGACGTGGATCAGCGGCGGAGTGGACGTGGATCAGCGGCGGACTGACGTGGGCAGCCCGGCTGTCTTAGCGAGGATGGCAGATTCGTATTTTCAGGTCCAGCTGACGGCTATTCTGGACGTGCTGCTTAAAACAGCGGCTGTGGACATTTGCGCTCTGGCTGACAGCGTCTTCACATCTTTACAGAGGGAAATAGAGAGAAGTACATCTGAAAACGAGGAGCTGAGGCGGCAGCTGCGGAGTTTTACTGCAGAGCGGAGCGTTTCACCTGACAGAGAAGCGGCTCCGCTGAAAACTCAGGAGAGAAACAGCAGAGCCGCGGAGGATGGCAGTAGAAAAGCGCACGGTCAGTGGTGCAGGAGTCAGTACCGCACTCAGCAGCTGTTCAGTGACCTCTCCTCGGTTTGCCTTCTTGGTTTTGCTTCTCCAAAACTTCAACATAATCTACAACAAATTATATTATTGTAATACTTGTGTGCGGAGCCCTGCTGGTGACATCCCGTATAAATAAAGGTATGTCGTGGGAACGAGGTAATTAAGTCGTAACCACGACTTAGTAAGGCAATGGAACGAGATCATGCCTTATTAAGCTGTGGTCAAGGCTTAATCATCTCATTCCATGCCTTGCTAAGTAGTGGCCACACATTAGGATCTCGTCACTATGCCTTGCTGAGTCGTGGCCACGACTTAATTATCTTGTTCCCAAGCCGTACTGAATCATGGCCACAACTTGATTCTCACGTTCCCACACCATACTTTGTATTAACACATGGGAACTAAATAATTAAGTCGCAATTTAGTAAGGCATGGAAACGACATCTTAATGCATTGCCACGTAGTAAAGTGTGGGAATGAGATAATTAAGCCTTGACCACAGCTTAATAAGGCATGATCTTGTTCCCAGCCTTACTAAGTCATGACCACGCGGTAGGATCTCATTCCAAAGCCTTACTAAGTCGTGGCCATGACTTCATCTTCTCGTTCCCATGCTTTACTATGTCATGGCCACACATTAGGATCTCGTTCCCACGCATTAATATGGTGTGGCCAGGCATTATTTTGATTTACATGGGATGTCTACTTGTTACGGAGCCCCACTGGTGACATCCTGTATAAATAAAAATAATGCATGGCCATGACTTAGTAAGGCACCGGAACAACATAATTAAGTCATGGCCACAACTTAGTAAGCCATGGGAACGAGATCCTAATGCATGGCCACGACTTAGTAAGGCATGATCACATTCCCATGCCTTACTATGTCATGGCCACGCGTTAGGATCTCGTTGCCACGTGCTAATAAGGCATGGCAATGCATTAGTTTTACTTATATTGGATGTCACTAGCGGGACTCCATTGGGCTCCATAAGTTGTGGTTTATGATTATCTTCCTGAGCTTTTGCGGTATAAAAGGGTGGGAATAAGAGAGAAATGCCTCTGAGGTCCACAGTGCCTCTGAGGTCTGTTTCCTCTTTAGTCAGTCAAAACATTTCATCGTCCACAAACTGGACCCACAGTGGCCACACTCTGCTTTTGGCCTGTTTTAGCCACACCCTTAAAAACTTTCTTCAAGAGTTCTTTAGTAAAGGGACTGGATCTATTTGAGTTCTGTATAGAACCATTTCATGCTTAAATGGTTCTTTGCATGTTGAAATGGTACTTCAGATTGATGGAGATTGTGTTGTACATGGTTCTATAAAGAACCTTTTAAAAAATGGTTCTATAACACCGAAAAGGGTTCTTCTATTGCTGCAAGCTTGACATCGCAATGATAGTAAAATCCATTTTGGTGCTATAAGGAACCAAAACTATACAACATGTTTTCCATCACCTTGAGGAACCACTTTACCATGCAAAGAACAATTTAAGCATGCAGATGGTTCTGTGTAGAACTCATGATTCTAAATAGAACCATTGTCTTTGCTAAAGAAGCATCCTTTTCTAAGTATGCACAGAATGCATAACTGTAGATTACAGTATAGTGGCCCACACAAGTACTCACACTATTTCATGTTGCAATGTTAGAAATGAATCCCAGGAGAAAGAAGAACTTATTAAAGGACAATTCCACCGTTTTTACAAAGTTCCCCGCAGTTAATGCAGGAGTGAAATGGTTCATAGTAGAACAACTTGGATGTCTTTACTGTGGTGTTGATAGGAACCAGGGGTCGCTGAGTCTACACCAGGGAAAGGACTCTTAAAAATATGTTTTAAACCTTCTCAGTACTGTTGCTGTTAAAGGTATCAGATGCTTCATATGTTTGATTCCTGTCAGCACCACTGTGAACAATTCTGACTCGCAAAGTTTCTCTAAAACAAAAGTTTTCTTTGGGTGCTGATTTATTTTCCTTTAAACACCCTGTATGTATCTGCCATGAATTCATTTTTAAAAATACATTGTAGGCCTAAAACCCATCTCTAAATTAACCTAAAGCAAAGTTTCCTTCTGTGAGGGAGCTTTTCAAGGCATTAATCTCTTCAGACGTCTGGTTCCTATCACCACCACTGTGTAAGGTTCTCTAGAACAGAGCTTTTCACATCAAATCACTTTGAATGACTTTGCTTGGATTTTAACATTATCCTTATTATTTAAAAATTTTGAAAAATGGTTGGAATTCCTCTTTAACCTTGCAACTTTTTTGTTTTTCAGATCGTAGGCCAAAGGCCTTTAATGTGGGGACTGATGCTGGAGCGGTCAATAGTGGTCAGCAGGTAATGTCACCAGCTGGCACACCTGACAGTTTCAACAATTTGAGTTAGCAGCTAATCCTCTCACACTTGCATTGTGGGTTTGGGCCAGTATAGAGTATACAGTATAGTAGAGAAACAGTTCATTATATAATTATTTGTTTAATCATGCTCAAAATGAGTTTTCAGAGCAGCAGTATTTGGTAGGATGTATTATGAGCAGATCAGCCTGCTAACAGGGTCTCAAAAGGTCTGTATATAAGCCACACTCTGTTATGTCTGCATTAATCACACATTAGCTTCATATTTAGTTGTTATAATTAGTTGTGACCTCTGAATAATAGAGCTTTAGTAGGGTTAAGTGCATAAAAGATTTTTGCATGATGCTTAAAGGGGAATTCCACAGATTTTTCAAAATTTCTGCGTAATTAAATCATTATGCAGGATGATTTTATGAATCTTATCCGATTACTTATGCAGAAATTTAGAAAAATAGGTGGAATTCCCCTTTAAAGTCCTCATAAACAGTGTATATGTTACAGATAGTGCATGCTTTACACTGTGTTTAAGTCATAGATTAACCTTTATAATTTGGGAAAACTTAGGTTGGAGACTCATTTCTTTGTTTGTTTGTGCAGCTGCAGAAGCAGAGCGATGCATCGGTGGGAGTTAAAGAAGAGGTGACGGAGATGTATGTTACTCAGAGTGTGGAGAGCAGGGTGCATGGTAAGGGCCCATGAACAAACTATGTGAGAAGTTAACATGGATTATATTATTTTTGACTGCACGGAATCAGCCAATATTGGAATCAGCTTAAGGTGTAACATTACACTCAGGCCACGATTGTATTTGATTCCCAGCTGTTCACGTTGGGCTCGGGTTGGGTTATAATTTTACGTTGGGGTTCTCAGAGCCCGTCTCCTTCTTTCAACAGATTTGACCCTGCATTTCTCCCTTGTTTAGTATATATTCTTCACTACTTTCACTTCCTTAGAACGTTTTTAAACTGGCATGCTGGTGTCGCCCATTCAGCACCAAGGTCTACGACGCCCACCCTCAACAGAAAACAGGACATAAACAGTGAATCAGTCCAGAAAAGTACAGTTTAGTGCAGCCGAAAGTGTCCAGTGTGTTCTACATGCAGAAATGTTTTCATTATGAACAGGTGAAAGCCGACATTTACATTAGATTAAAGCATTTGGCAGACACTCTTATTCAGAGTGACTAACAGTTTAACTGTGATACAGAGGTAGTGGAGTGTAGTGTTAGGTATCTTGCCCAAGGACTCTTTTTGGTCCTTGGGCAATTGAAATCTCACCATATCAGCACAGTGTGGAAAGTAGGAAACCATAACAACTGCTTAGCAACCACCTAGGACACTGTAGCAACCGCATAGCAGCTGCTTAGTAACCACCTAGGACACCATAGCAACCGCCTAGCAACTGCTTAGTAACTACCTAGGACACCATAGCAATTGCCTAGCAACTGCTTAGCAACCACCTAGGACACCATAGCAACCGCCTAGCAACTGCTTAGCAACCACCTAAGACACCATAGCAGCTGCTTAGCAACCACCTAAGACACCATAGCAACTGCTTAGCAACCACCTAAGACACCATAGCAACTGCCTAGCAACTGCTTAACCCACCACCTAGGACACCATAGCAACCGCCTAGCAACTGCTTAGTAACCACCTAGGACATCGTATCACTGCATAGCAACTGCTTAACAACCACCTATGAAACCATAACAACTGCTTAGCAACCACGTAGGACACCATAACAACTGCCTAGCAACTGCTTAGCAACCACCTAGTACACCATAGCAACTACTTAGCAAACATGATGGACACCATAGCGACTCACAGGCTAAAGCATTAAGTGCTCTGCTAGTTAACCAGCTAAAAGTTTAAACAGTGTGTTTATGTTCAGCCACATAAGTCATTTTTACTTTTCTTCATGCTTTCTCTTCCTTTACTCTCCCTAGATGTGTCCAGTGATGGAGTTCCAGTCACGGACAGAAATGCTCAGCTTTCTGACCTCAGGCCTGACCTCAAGACAGAATCGGAGAAGACTGAATCAGTGTTCCACAGTTCACAGCCTGACTGGAACGACTGCAGCATTACAGACTATGAGGAAGAAAGAGAGGGACAGCAGGAGAACCAGAACACTCAAACTGGACCATGCACTAATTCTAATGGAGAGGGGGAAGACAGAGAGGCGGAAAAAGAACAGCTTCGACGTGAAACTTGCCTGCCACAGGATCCAGATTTACAGTGTTCCTTCATACAGATTGACGGAACTGTAACTACCTCTGTCCCTGAGAGGCAGACAGGAAGTACATTTGCTTGTGATATTTGTGGAAAAGTAGTTTTGTCAGAGCAAAGACTGAGAGTACACATTAAAACGCATGCTGCCCTGAGGCCCTACACGTGCTCTCAGTGTGGGAAGAGTTTCACTCGCAAAGCGACCTTGAATTTCCACCAGAACATCCACAGAGGCGTGAAACCGTATGCCTGCAGTATCTGCCCGAAGTCATTCGCCGACCCAAGTGCTCTGCGCAGGCATAAATCCATACACAAGGTGGTTCGTTAGGGCTGAAGCGTTTCTCCTTGCTTGTATGTAGAGTGTTACAAGCAAACTGACGTGTTTTAAAGGGCCCATATCCTGCATTTATTTATTTTTAAAACCACTTATCTATTTAATTTTTTTCAAATTTTTATTAGTTTTGAACAGATATGTTAAGTTATGTAGCTTACATTTAGCTTTATTTATCATTGCAGTCGTCTGTATCATGATAGAATAATAGCCATTGTCCCACACATTGATCAGGTTATCATTATGACCACCTCCTTGTTTTTATGCTCATTGTCCATTTTATCAGCTCCACTTACTATATAGGTGCACTTTGTAGTTCTACAGTTACAGACTGTAGTCCATCTGTTTCTCTGCATACTTTGTTAGCCCCCTTTTACCCTGTTCTTCAGTGGTCAGGACCCCCATGGACCCTCACAGAGCAGGTACTATTTGGGAGACGGATCATTCTCAGCACTGTGGTAACACTTTTGTGGTGGTGGTGGTGTGTTAGTGTGTGTTGCGCTGGTACGAGTGGATCAGACACAACAGTGCTGCTGGAGTTTTTAAACACCTCAGTGTCACTGCTGGACTGAGAATAGTCCACCAACCAAAAATATGCAGTCAACAGCGTCCTGTGGGCAGTGTCCTGTGTCCACTGATGAAGGACTAGAAGATGACCAACACAAACTGTGCAGCAGCAGATGAGCCATTGTCTGTGACTTTACATCTACAAGGTGGACTGACAAGGTAGGAGTGTCTAATAGAGTGGACAGTGAGTGGACACAGTGTTTAAAAACTCCAGCAGCACTGCTGTGTCTGATCCACTCAGACCAGCACAACACACACTAACACACCACCACCATGTCAGTGTTACTGCAGTGCTGAGAATGATCCACCACCCAAACAGTACCTGCTCTGTGAGGGTCCATGGAGGTCCTGAACACTGAAGAACAGGGTAAAAGGGGGCTGACAAAGTATGCAGAGAAACAGATGGACTACTTGAAGAACAACAAAGTGCACCTATATAGTAAGTGGAGCTGATAAAATGGACAATGAGCGTAGAAACAAGGAGGTGGTCATAATGTTATGCCTGATCGGTGTATATGTAAATGTGTTGGGTTTTGTGACATCACATAAACAACAAATTATTATTGGGCTGTTTTTGCAGCTTAGTTTCTATGTATGGACTGAGGACTGTTATGTTTTAAAACTTTAACAGTATTAGCACTGTTACTACACTAAATTCTTGTTTAAAAAAGCATAGAGCAGTTTACCATGATATGGGCCTTTTAAGCTACTAAGGTGGAATTGGTCAAGTCTGCAGTCCACCATGGTGAAGGTACATGGAACAAGACAAGACAATAGAAAAAGAATGAAAGATGACGCTCAAAAACATCAGCATGGAGAAGATCAAGCCATGAGGTCACTGTTTTCAGATTTTCCAGCACATTTATGAAAGTTTATTTTTGTTTCAATAAGGTTTTCTCACAAAGTTCTTATGACTCAGAAGTGCATCTTGCAGGACAAGGAAAGCCTCAACAAGCTAATTAGTTATCTAAGAAAACTTTGTGAAGCAAATAGTTGTTGAGATATATGCTGGGTGATATCATCTGTACCAGTTTACGACGATATTGAAGCATTGTGACATTGTTTTTCAGTTTTAGCGATATTATTAGTATGCCATTAATAATGAGCATTATTATCTATTCCATTTTGTGTTGCTATGCAGGACCTAAAAGTTAACTGCAATATATGTTATTTGCTGAGTGTTTCATATAGTTTTAAGCAGTTCAGAATACATAAAAAACTAAATAAATAGTCTTTTTTTCTGGAAATGTCTGGTTAACATTTATAATACTGTGAAAAATGAGTAGCAGTACTAATGTTGCTTTCGAATTGAGCTCCTAACTTGGAATATCTGCCCTCTGACTAGGAAAAATTGAGGAAAACACTGTCTTGACTGGGAATTCCTACTTGGAAAGTTGGGATAGTGTCAACATGGCTCACATTGTTAAAAGTAATAAAGTACCAGCAGAGCCTTTTTTATGAGGAGACTGGCCGCTTCCTATTTCTCCCATTACATCAAAAACATGACTGCAAAACAGCAGAGGACGCCTGCGAGCGAGCCCTCAGTGAATGGGGGTGAATAGATCTAAACGGCTAAAAACAAAAAGTCAAAATAGTTTCTAAACACTCACCCAGAACTTTCCTTTAGTTTTAGAAAGTAGATAAATGCTTCACTAAAAAAGCAAAGAAAACCTGTATGCTTCCTTTTTCTACAGCAATCGGGTTTTGGGCATCAGGACTCTGACATTACTGCTACTGAGTGCTGATTGGTTGGTGAGCGGAGCAGCTCATTGGCTGCTCGCGCTCACAGATGTCATAGACGTACATGAGACGCCATTTTAAACTCCTATAACTCGAGTTTAAAAGCTCTTAAAAATATAACAGCGGTGTTAAAAAGTTTTATGCTGTCCTGTGTTGGAATTGAATGTATTCTTTTACATTAAAAAATGTTTAAGCGTTTATGCGTTCGACTATGATTTTGCTCAATTGCTCCTTCTTAACCCATTCATTTTGGACTCACTCAGGAGCGCCCTCTAGTGTTTAAGTGGTAATTCTCCTCTCTACAAGTTCTCTGGTACCAACTCTCCACTTTTAAATGAGATTAGCTTTAGATCAGTTAACATAAAGACATGGAGGTTGGTCAAATCTTTAACACTGATCATAAAGTTCACTGATTAGAAACTTGAAATGGTAAATACATCGGGAACGTGAATGGTTTCCCTAACGTTATCTGGCTAGCTTGTTGCTAACAACACTCGCTTTCATGGAGGCTTCCATGTTTTTTTTCGCTTTGTAGCTGAACATACAAAGGTTGAAAATGGCACAAGTAAATTGCGTTCACTTACTTTATTAATGTTAATTTAAATAGCATCTGACATCATCATACATTTGGAAAAATGCTGAATTACATCGATTTCTGCCCAGAACTCGTCTGAGAATAACACGCACAAGCTTTTAGAGTAATTGCTTTGTGTAGCTTAAGCTTGGGGTCTAAAATGAGAACTGGGGTGCACTGCTCCTCTTTATGTTGCTGTTAGCTGTGTGGCCCTTAGCGTGCTATCTAGCAAGCTAGCAGCGTAATGTAATGAAGTTACAGCAGCCATGTATAACAGATAGAATAGCTTGGTATGTTAAACTCATTTTGAACATGGCAAATTGAAAGTTACAGTTTTGAAATCGCTGCTAGAAAAAAACAGCACAGACCGGTAAAGCAGCATATGTTGTGTTTCGGATGCTGGTATGCTGGACAACAAGCATGACCATGCTGGGTGACCAGCTAATCCATTACCAGACCAACATAAACTAGCATAATCCAGTTTAGACCAGCATGGAATTCATGCCGGCAGAGGTATAGCCGAGAGGCGGCCATTGCCATCCTAGAATGAAGCATGGCTGCCCTTCTGGCCACTCCAGTTATGGAAAGTGAGACAGTCCATCCTCATTAAAACAGTATCAATTATGCTTTATGGGAAAAATCTGCCAGTGTAGTTACCAATCGGTCATAAGAGTCTGATGACGCTGCATTTAATATGTGTGTGCCTTGCTGTGGTTGGATAATTTACTCAGTAAACAGGTGAGTGAATGCACTGGGTCCTTGTGAGCTACATTATGAAGTCTGCTATGCATCGGTAAGATGAATTAACTATCAATGATTAGTCAGCTGTATTGTTTATCATGTTAACTAATTTCTATTTTGAATATGTGTTGTGCGTTACTTTCATACAGTGCTGTCTGATTAGCTTTTAGACATTGGACTTAACCTGTAGCCTGAATTTACATCTTCTGGCCTCTATGTATGAAATGTTATTCTTAATGTTATACACTGAAATAAGTCATTTAATTTAATTTACTTTCAAATGTTTTATTTCCTTATGACTAAACATGTTACGTTAAAACAGGGGGGTTCACAAAGCAGGATTTCTTAGTTTAGCCAGATAACTTAAGCCCAAAGTCAAGCCTGTCCAATAGGATAAGAGCTGAGGGAAATTCCTGTTGGACAGTCTTCATCTTAGGGCTTAAGTTATCGGGCTAAGTTTACTTTCAGCAATAATTATATTGATGTACTGTTTTATGTATGTAGATTTAGTTCTGTACAGAAAACAATGCATGACTTTTTATGGAATTTTAATCCGGTGAACTTTTTTTAATCCGGTAAACTTTTTTTCCTCTCAGTGTGTCACCCCAGTAAAATCTCTGGGCCTTGGCTAGCCACCCCATTCTAAAAGGTCTAGCTACACCCCTGCATGCAGATCTGTGCAGGCATTACTAGTAAAATATTTCAATATTACTTTATTTTCAGGTAATTGTTGCTCTGGTTTATGTACAACAGAGGGTTTCAGCACAGAATTAAAAGAAAAGCCATGTTTATCTGTCTTCACCCCTAGATGGCGGTGAAGCCCTGAACTGGAAGCCAGCAGTCACCACCAGCAACTAACAGGGAGCAGAAATAAGTCCCCTCTAAACTTGTCATGTTTGTGATGATTCTGCCAGTAATCTTGTTATACATGCATGCTTGCAGTTCATAAAAGGTGGCGGTTTGTTTCTATTTTTAGGTTTGCGATGGCGTGTGCATGGCTTGGTCAGCATTGCGCCCTGCAGATTACAGTGTGACCAGATTACAAACCCACCTGCACTGATCACTTCCATCAGTTTGATGTTTAAGAGTTTTAGAGTTTCTCTTCACAGAAATGGAATGAGGTCTTGTGTGTTAATAGGTTTTATAGAACTTAATCTGTGATATATATATATATATATATATATATATATATATATATATATATATATATATATATATTCGGATGTATTAGGAACACTGTACTAATACTGCTTAGGGCCCCACTTTGCTCACAAAACAGCTTCAGTTCTTCATGCCCTGGATTCCACAAGATGTTGGAAACATTCCTTTGAGATTCTGGTCCGTGTTGACATGATTGCATCAAGCAATCCCAAAG